TGGTGTGTGGGTGGTGTGTGGGTGATATGATGATGTGGTGAAGTAAATAATAAGATTTTGGTTGTGGATCTTTGACCTTTTCTTGAGATCAGACTTTTAATGCCTTGGGTGTGAAGGTGATTGGAGTGATATTGGGGTAGGTGTGATTCGTTGGTTGTGTTAGTGGTTGGGGTTCGTGGTCTGTGTGGGTGGTTGGGTTCATGGGCTGTGTGAGTGGTTGGGTTCGTGGTCTGTGTGGGTGGTTGGGTTCGTGGTCTGTGTGGGTGGTTGGGTTCGTGGTCTGTGTGGGTGGTTGGGTTCGTGGCCTGTGTGGGTGGTTGGGTTCGTGGTCTGTGTGGGTGGTTGGGTTCGTGGTCTGTGTGGGTGGTTGGGTTCGTGGTCTGTGTGGGTGGTTGGGTTCGTGGTCTGTGTGGGTGGTTGGGTTCGTGGTCTGTGTTAGTGGTTGGGGTTCGTGGTCTGTGTGGGTGGTTGGGTTCGTGGTCTGTGTGGGTGGTTGGGTTCGTGGTCTGTGTGGGTGGTTGGGTTCGTGGTCTGTGTGGGTGGTTGGGTTCGTGGTCTGTGTGGGTGGTTGGGTTCGTGGTCTGTGTGGGTGGTTGGGTTCGTGGTCTGTGTGGGTGGTTGGGTTCGTGGTCTGTGTGGGTGGTTGGGTTCGTGGTCTATGTTAGTGGTTGGGGTTCGTGGTCTGTGTGGGTGGTTGGGTTCGTGGTCTGTGTGGGTGGTTGGGTTCGTGGTCTGTGTGGGTGGTTGGGTTCGTGGTCTGTGTGGGTTCGTGGTCTGTTTGGGTGGTTGGGTTCGTGGTTTGTGTGAGTGGTTGGGTTCGTGGTCTGTGTAAGTGGTAGGGTTTGTGGGCTGTATGGGTTCGTGGGCTGTGTGGGTGGTTGGGTTCGTGGTCTGTTTGGGTGGTTGGGTTCGTGGTCTGTGTGGGTGGTTGGGTTCGTGGTCTGTGTGGGTGGTTGGGTTCGTGGTCTGTGTGGGTGGTTGGGTTCGTGGTCTGTTTAAGTGGTAGGGTTTGTGGGCTGTATGGGTTCGTTGGCTGTGTGGGTTCGTGGTCTGTGTGGGTGGTTGGGTTTGTGGTCTGTGTGGGTTTGTGGGCTGTGTGGGTGGTTCGGTTCATAGGCTGTGTGGGTGGTTGGGTTCATAGGCTGTGTGGGTGGTTGGGTTCGTGGTCTGTGTGGGTGGTTGGGTTCGTGGTCTGTGTGGGTTCGTGGTCTGTGTGGGTGGTTGGGTTCGTGGTTTGTGTGGGTGGTTTGGTTCGTGGGCTGTGTGGGTTTGTGGGCTGTGTGGGTGGTTCGGTTCATAGGCTGTGTGGGTGGTTGGGTTCATAGGCTTTGTGGGTGATTGGGTTCTTAGACTGTGTTAGTGATTGGGTTCATGTGCTTTGTGGGTGGTTGGGTTTATGGACTTTGTGGGTGTGTGGGTTCGTGGAATCTGTGGGTGGTATGATTCATGGATTGTGTGGGTTTGTGGGCTGTGTGAGTGGTTAGGTTCATGCGAACCTTTGAGCTATAAGTCAGCAGCTAATATTGACTCGGCTGGCTGCAGCCATATTGACGCTCTCCGGCCGCAGCCAATATTTGATCTGTTAGCTGCAGCCTAGTGACATCCCCCCTTCCCTCCTCACCACTGGCTAATTACGAGGGATATCAGCACACTAATTAGAAAAAAGCCATTAATATTTATGGCAGTCATTAGCGATAGAATAAAAAAGATATAAGGTGTTAATTTCACTGTTTGTATTATGCGTTGACTTCATAAGCTGAGCATTAGTTGTTGTTTTTTAAAATAGTGATATAATTTATAACACTTCATATCTTCAACCAATGATTTTTGTAGACTCTTCAAATTGAAAAATTAAAAATGTTCAGATAACTATTTAAAATTAAAAAAAAAAAAAAGCTATATCCGTTTATTCATTTTTTTAAGAAATAGAATTTTAAAATATCAAAATCTATTTTCTTCTTGATTCATCGTTTGCCAATTTAATTTCCGGGTAGTAATCTTCTACTGCGCATGTGCAAGAATGGAACTCTCCTGCTCTAAAAAAAGAGTTTAACCTACACAAAAGACATCAACACGAGTATATCTTTTAGTCTATACTTTGATGAAACATTATGCAAACATTAAGGCACATCAGCCGCCTTTAGAAACCTGAAGATGTCGGAAAGTACCAGGCTTTCTATATCGATGGCGCCAGTCTTTTGAAATATATACTGCACAATAATGTCGTTTCGTAGCATCTAAGCTCCATGTAGCTTATATCAAAACTGATTATATATATACATATATATAGGCCTATATATATAGGCCTATATATATATATATATATATATATATATATATATATATATATATATATATATATATATATATATATATCCACTAAACAGATAAATAGTTGGACCCTTAATATGCTTGATTTGATGTTCTTTTCTTAAGTTAGCATAGCTTAAAGTAGTATAGATCTATGACCTATACAATCTTTTATACGATGGCACACAAGTAATTCATATCAAGGACCAAAACAATATACTAAATCCCCTTTTTATTTAAACAATGACAAAATAATTCAGATACTTTCAATATAAAAATCAGCTTTGCTTCAATCAGAGTTTCTTCCATGCATCTACCTCCCCCCCCCCCCCCCCCCCCGAACGGAATGGAATTTATATAGAAAACATATACTTTTACCAGTTTCCGCAACCCCCCCCCCCCCCCGAAAAAAAACAACTGCCCCACCCCCTCCCCGGAAAAAAAGTCTGGAAGAAACACTGGCTTCAATGCACTGTACTGCCTTCAATCTTGCTAAACAACTCCCACATTCACCCCCTCATCCACGACCTCCCCTCCCCCTCCCCCCTCTCATATCCATATCAAAAGAAACCAGAGCTAATAAAATAGCAATATAAAAACAGAACGGCATTATAAATGATGGGATTTTATTAATACTGTATGGTAATCATTAATCTATAGACCTAACGGGCAGGGCGCTGGACGTCCGCCTTTACAGTATTCAATCAATTTGCCAAACACACACACACACAAACATACACACACACACACACACATACACACGCACGTATACACAGAGTCGTTAGAACAAAGGATGATTAATTTGTCAAACACAACACACACACACACACACACACACACACACACAAACATACACACGTACGCAAACACATAGTCGTTAGAACAAAGCATGATCTATTTGTCAAACAAACACACACACACATACACACGCACGCACACACGAAGTCGTTTGAACAAAGGATGATCTATTTGTCAAACACACACACATACACACATACACACGCACGCACACACGAAGTCGTTAGAACAAAGGATGATTAATTTGTCAAACACACACATACACACACACACACACTGTCACACACAAGGTCACTAGAACAAAGCATGAACAATTTGTCAAACACACACATAAAACACACACACAAGGCTACTAGAACAAAGGGTGATCTATTTGTCAAATACACAGACATACATACACACTGTCACACACTAGGCCAGTAGAGCAAAGCATGATCAATTTGTCAAACATAAACTCACACGCACATACAATTTATAAACATCACATACACACATACACACGCCCATAACAGAACAAAACATAATCAATTGGTCAAAGACACACACTCACACGTAGACACACACCCACACACACACCCGCCCACGCCATCACGCCGATGGTATCTGGCTAACTACCACTTTAGTCTGACGAGGTTTTTTTTCTTCATCTAATTTCTCCCACTAAGTCTTCGGGTAGAAAAGAAACCATCCCCGATGAAGTCCGCCATTTAATGAATTCCTGGAGGGCCGTTTAAGTGATTGGACCACACACTCCGCCCCCACACACAGTTTGCGTGTGTGTGTGTGTACGTGAGTGTGGATGTGTGTGTGGATAAAATCGTTCCGGCGCAATTTTTTAAAATAAAAGATGGAATATCAACAAAAAAATCAACATAAAAGCAAATTGCATAGCTAAATATAAAGCGTATCATTTGCTACGGATAAAAATAAACAACGCCACTTCTATAAAAGGAAATATTTTTTTTCACATTGTCTAAAAAGCCGTTCCAGCATACGTAATTTTTGTGGGTTGTTTTTTTTTTAAGATTTTTTTTTTCATTTTTAAAATCAATTCTCTTTTTTTATAATTGTGAAGTTTCTTGAATGAGTTGATAAAGTTTTAAAACAGTACTTCTCAAAGCTTCTCTGTAGTACCTAATACTAACACTAACATAACTTTACGGTTAAGGTAAGGTTTTCAGGTCACTGGCTAGACAAGAAAGATAGAAATCAGCATCTGGGTTAAGCTATTAAGATAAGAAAATCTGACTTTAAAAAAATTAGAAGTTTTGCCATACCCTTATAGTTATAATTACACACACACATATATATATATATATATATATAAATATATATATATATATATATATATATATATATCATTTTTTTTAAACCGAGTAAATTACAGAAAAAACACCTTAAAGAAACCTTTAACTGTTCAATGTTGTTTCGTTAGTGCAATAATATGATCTATAATTAACTGTACATGCAAAAACGTGGTGTAGTTATTTACCAACTTAACAGCCGCAAGCTTTTAATGACTCATCTTTGTAAACATAAATATTAAGTGTCGGATTTCTAGTAGCGTCAAGCTCACGACTGTAGTGATTTGATTTCAATTTCCTGAAGTAAATTCTCGCAACAAGATTTGAAAGTTACAGATCTATACTCTCGCGCAAGTTTTTGTTACGTTGTTGATTTAAATATTATGAAACACTATATTAAAAGATACTTTTTTTTGTTTAATTTAATTCAGTGGGTTTTTTTTTTCAAATAAAAATGTTTTTTATAGATTTTTTTGCAAAATGAAAAAAATAACTTAAAAATTATAATTCATTACTTTTTTTAATATTACGTACGTACTATTATAAGAGGACTTAAAATAACGGATTTTTTTAAGCGCGAAAATTTTTTACCAGGCAGTGAAAGTCATCAGGTGTAATTTTTGGGATAAAAATGGTGTTAAACACTATAAAAAAAATACATTGACCAAAATTCATGCACCAGGAAGAAATACGTTTGTTCTTCAGACAATCACACTTTTGTAATCATTAGATATAATCATTAGTCATGCAAATTAATTTCAGCGGAGAGCACTGTCGATAGCTAGTTCTAGATCTACTGCGGTCATTTCTTGTACGAGCTTCTGACCGCCCCTTCCGGTGTCCAAAGATGGCGCTGGTGGTCGTCGAACAGGGGCAGGTTCCTCCAGGAGTACGAGTCCTTGTCGACATAGGTGTCGCCCTTGTACCATTTCCTGACCTTCTGAGTGCTAGACACGGTGGGGCGGCTCAGTCTCAAGATGTGACCTTTGACCTGAAACGGTGAGAAAAGTGTAGGGGTCAAAAGATGGGTAAGTCCGCATATTGAGGACGAATACACATCAATGAAGAACTTAAAACTGAATAAAAATAGTAAGCAAAAACGTGTGTGGTGGATAGCGGCTTAAGCTTAAGCTATAAATAGGCTATAGAGTGACAGGTGTTTTTCGAGGGTTGAAAATATTGTTGTTAAATATTGAAAAACGAAGGCGCGGTGCCTAAATGTATAGCAGTCATCAGCGTCTGTAGAAATATGATAATCAATATTATAGAGAAAGAAATATGTGTGCTTAAAATAGAAATACGACAATTTCTTTATGTAAAGATCAGGAATATCAGTCATTTATTTTGTTATTTTCCCCGCTAATTTTCTCCTTTTCTTTCTTTTCTTCATTTTTTTTTATGTAAAAAATAAATAAATTTTAATTTGTTTTCTATCCCAAAGACTTGTAGTAAATGTGGGTTTTATTTTCAAAACCGTGTTTGTGAACAGTAGCACTAGTGACAGATATTTTATACAAGTAGTGCAAAAAAAATAATTAATATTTTGTAGTACATTCTTCTTCGTCCCTCCAACACAATTAAGTATCAAGTGTCAACCTGATATACACCAAATAGGTCAACTCTGATTTCAGCCTGATTTTTTTCTGCCATCGTCTTTGTCCATCCATGAACAAACTACAAGGCATATATATATATATATAAATATATATATATATATATATATATATATATATAAATATATTGTATATATATGCATTATATATATATATATATATATATATATATATATATATATAATGCATATATATACAATATATTTATATATATATATACATATATATATACAATATACATATATATATATATTATTTATATATATATATATATATAATATATAGGCCTATATATACAATATATATATATATATATATATATATATATATGTGTGTGTGTGTGTGTGTGTGTTTTATAGTATTATTCTTTTAAAAAAGTGGGTGAACTTTTCAGCCCAGGGGTGGCACACGATGACATATATGGCCCAGCTATTCGTGGCGCCATTACGAGCAGATGACACTAACAAATGACATCTCCTCCGGGCACCGAAGAGTTCCACCGAAGGATTGATTGCGACCTGCTAACACGGATAACAGCGAAAATGAAAATTAGATGAATTCGCCTTCTTTAATTGATTAGTAGCTGGATAGGATGCACTTGCGAGTTAATAGTAGCTGAGTTAATTGTCTTGAATATCCGTATTAAAATTTAATTTCTCAATTTATTTGAAGTTGAATTTCGATGTATTAAAGGGAAGCAATTCAGTTCTGAAAGTAACGCTGGAAGGAGATTAGCGAGGGTTGTTGGTCCTGATATTTATACTTTATCACGGGCAATGGTGAATTTAAGTGTATGTACCCAAATTTATTAATGTACGCTTTTAAAATCTCTCCCACTCCCCCTCACCAATTGCTCGTATGCAACTTGTACCCACGACATATTTTTGTAATCATTAATCATTAGTTCCTTTATCTCCCCCCCCCCCCTTTAGTGTCAACTGTACCCCTTGGTACCAGGCCACTGTCCGTGTGATATATCTCATCCCTGTACAAATAAACCTGTGATGGGTGCTACTTAAGAGGTCGGAGGGGTGACATCACAAAGGAGGGAAATAACATCACGATTGGTGAAATTAAATCGCGATTCATCATCGTTTCCCGTTTGTGCCCAAGACACATGGTGCAGATGAAGTAGAGTTCATCTGCTTCAAAGACCTCAGCATATAAAGGGATAGTGTGGTCAGCATTATACCCAGCCGCCTTTACTTTTCCCTAACGTGAGTGAGGTACACATCAGAGCTGGTTGGACTGAGGGACGTTCCACTGATTTGAGCCCGGATTCGATCTCGAGACTCTCGCGATTGGGAAAATTATTTCAAGAGAGTAAGAAAGTATATCAAAAGGTGAAAAATGACATCACGAGGTGGAAAATTGACACCGAAAGATGAGGACTGACATCAAAATGAGATAAATAGCATCACGAGGTGAGAAATGACAGGAGTGAGAAGTGACATTACGAGGGTGGGGATAAATGACATCAAGAGCGTGAATTATGACACACGTGGAACCCCCCCCCCCCCCCCTCCCCAACGGGATAAGATCGAAAAACAAATTTTCTCTTCCGAACCCGCCGAATTACATACTTTTATTACTATGTCAAAAATAGTGCATAGGCCTAATAAAATCTAATAATTTTACAGTACTGAAACACAAAATTACAGTCAATAGTCCTGACCCTAATTCTAATCATAGACTTAGATTCGATAACCTTTTTGTAATTATCAAGAGCCAAAAAAAAAACTTCTGACTTTCTTAAAGTGCATTAGAGAACATCCATCTTTGCAAAATAAATTATTTAATTATGCCAACATGACTCATGACCACTCATTTTTTTTTAACCTCCTTGACATAATAATTTTTCTGGCCAATAATCTATATACTACTAAAAGTCAACTTTGTTTACATGTTTGAATATTTATTTGTTTGCCTGATCGAAAATTGTGATATGTTCGACTCTATCTGGAAAGCTGTAAAATGGTATGCAGGTAGAGAATAATTTTTTAATGCAGACAGACTGTTGATCACAAATTTATTTAAAGACGTTAATTAATTTATTGATTTATTCCTACGCAGAATAACCCATTTTTTTTTAAAATATTTGAAAAGCCACTAGACTCGGCGGGACCGTGACGTCACAGGTTTTTGTTTACTCTTTAGTACAATAAAATGGCGGCGTCTATTGAAGAAAATTGTGTTCCCATTCAAAAGTTTAACGCGTTCTAAATCTAATTTTCTGTCGGTCATAACTTTAACAATACGTCCGTTTGCTGTATTTATTACGTTCCAACACTTATATCAATTTTCAACTGTCTTTTTCATTTAGTTTTACGATAAATTTCTCTAGATCTAAAGATCAGCTATCGAAGGAAATTTATGAATCTAGCCTAGATCTAGATCTAGATCTAGCCTAGATGTAGGTCACTAGATTCAATGTAAATTCTACATCTAGAATCTATTTCAGGCCTTAATTATTTTATATAAATCTTTGTTTGGCTTATTTAAGATAAAATTTAATTTGAAAGTTAGTACTACTAGACTTATTTTTAGATCTAGATCTAGAATCTATACGCGTAAATCAAGTTGCATAAGGAGACACATAGTATAGTATAAAAATTCACTTGTGACGTCACGAGTAAATAGCTAAAATGGTAGCGTAGTCAGCTCTCATGCAGGAGGCACGGGTTCTAGACCAATATGTCAATGAAATTTTTTTTTTCAATTTTTTTTTTAGATGTGAATGATAACGTTGCCTATCTGAACTTGGCAAGATACAGGGCAGGTGAAGTAGAGTTCATCTGTTTCTTTGTCCTAAGCATATGAAAGGATAGTGTGGTCAGATACATGCTCGGCTGGAATTGTTTTTTAAACGATAAAAACATGTTGTCTGAGACTTGGCAGGACACTGGGCAGGTGAAGTAGAGTTGAGTAGGTCACCTGTGACGTCAGTTTATGAAGGGATAGTCCGAAATCGGTGTTTTCGGTGTTTTTAAAAGATAAAAAAACATATATTTGAATGTGGGGTCTGTTTTTTGTGACGATAAGTGACACTGCAGTAGCGTACCGAGGAGGGGGGGGGGGCGGTAGGGGAGGGGAGGCGGGGGGTGGGGAGGGGAGGCGGGGGGTGGGGAGGGGAGGCGGGGGGGGGGGAAGGGGGGGTGGGGAGGTGGAGGGGGGAAGGGGGGGGGACATATGTTGGGGCGCCAAAATGGTTTGGAAAAATAAATTGATAGGTTGAGGGGGGTTCAAATCGAAAGTTTGAGTGGGGGGGGGGGGTGCACATCAAAAGTTTGAGGGGGGGGGGGGGTTCAAATCGAAAACTTTGTCCCCGGGCGCCGGGAAGGGTCGCTATGCCTCTGAGTGACAGACGTGATGTTTTTTGATGGATGACCCCCGAAACCCACAGTTATCCAACGGATGACGGGTATTCTAGTCTATAATATAACGCTGCTGGTAGTGTGTCAGTCCTTCCTTCCTTCCGTCATCGCTATAGATTTTGGGACTATAAAAGTAAACTACGCACCATGCTGTGCTTTTCAGTGCACCGCAGTGTCTTATTATAAGTATTAGAGTAGGGTTTGTTTATATAGCAGCATAGAGCTATTTTATAATTTCCACTGTTTGTACAATTTTGCATAACGTAAAGAGAATATTAAATACACGCACATTGCTAAAACATATTAAAAGGATCAATGTCAAATATAGTTTTCTTTAATATTCCCAGAAAAAGTGGATACATTTTATTAACATAATAACAGTAGGGTAGAAAAATCTAATTAAACTGCTTAGTAATTTTGCCAATGGAGGTAATTCAAAGATAAATTGAACTCACGCTAAAAATGTGAATGCAAAATCTGCAAGACGGAATAATTGTTGGAATAATATAATTAGCAAAATGTGAATGCAAATTATGCTGACGTGTAAGAGTACATTATTGTTGGAATATTATTATTAGCACATTGATTGATAAAAGGCTATCTTTTATTTCTTTTTATTCACTGAATGTACTGTTTACTAATTATAATTTTTAATCAACTATTCCGCACCATTATAGACATTGGGTGCGCAATGGTTTTAGTTATGAAACTCAATTGTAAATTTTTAAAATTAAAATACTGGGAAAAAAATGCGTGAATTGATAAAGTGATATATGGTAGGTAAACACGGAAATTATAGATATTGCCTATTTTTTATTGTATATTATTTATTATTATTCTATCTTTCGGTTTGCGGACAAGCTGGGGTTTTATAAGAGAGGCGTAGCTAGGGGGGGGGGGGTGGAAATCGAAAGTTTTAGGGAGGGGGAGGGGGGGTAGGGTGCAAATCGAAAGTTTGAGGGGGTGCAAATCAAAAGTTTGAGCGGGGGGAATTTCAAATCAAAAGTGGTGCAAATCGAAAGTCTGAGGGGATGGGTGGAAATTGAAATTTTGAGGGGAGGGGGTGCAAATCGTAAGTTTGAGGGAGGGTCAAATCGAAAGTTTGTCCCCGGGCGCCGGAAAGGGTCGCAACGCCTCTGTTTTGTAGTCATTCACTGTGTCAGACGCGTCCGCCGGGACTCGGAAAGGGCGCGATTTGGCGCTACGGGCTAGACTGTGAGCAATATGCCTTTATGATTGCATTTAAATTGTGTTTATGTTATGAGTGTTGTGTTCGTTTTTTCGTTGTTTTTTTTTTTTTTTGCGTTTGTTCGTTTGTGTTGTGTTTAGTTTTGTTCTGTTCCAAAGTTGGTATATTTAAAAATGATTTACCGTGGCGGAGCACGGGATACAGCTAGTAATAATATAATCACATACATTCAATGACAGGATACAACGCTAGTCTCACCTCAGGGATGGCTAATTTATTCCTCGCGCTGGCCTCGATGGCCGCGTGGTTGACGGCCATGGGGATGGGGTGGCCCCACAGTGTGCCAGGTTTTTGCGGCCCGCTCGCCTGTGGATGATTCACGACCGCTGTGCCAGGTGGCGCTATCTGCACGGTCGTCAGGCTGGGGTGGAGCTTATCGCTGCTCTCCGTGTCGTCGTCCCCTTGTACTTGTAACTGTGGGTTTGGTAGAAGGGGAGGGTGGAGGAAGAGGGGGGGGGGGGGGGGGGGGGGAGAGGATAAGGTTTGGTAAAAATATATATGAACAATCATATGAAAGTTACATAATTTGGAATTTACTATCACCCCCCCCCCCCCCACACACACACACGGTGACACATGGAAGTTTTAAGTATCCCCATCCGGAGAAAAATTTCCAAAGGAAACCATGCTATAACTAACATAAAGGAAAAGCTTTTGTAAAAATGTATATGAACAATTGTATGAAAGTTACATAATCTCGAATTTACTATCCACTCCCCCTTCCCCCCCCCCCCCCCCCCCACGGAAGTATCCCCATCCGGAGAAAAATGTCTAAAACAAACCATGTTGTAACTAATACAAAAATTATAATATTTTGTTCACTTATACTCCATTTAATTTTATAACCCCCTCCCCCGCCTATGCCCTACATCTCACACCCACACATACGACACAATCGTGTTACTATACAAAAAAATACTTCTTCAAATAAAATATGAGAGAAATAGCAGAGAAATTAACACATTACATTTTTCCTTTAAAACAAGTACAAAGCTTTACAAATGAATGTTTAAGCTCAAACTAGTTATAAAACAATTTTTGACAACAAAAATATTCCAGGGAAGAGATTGCTAGTTTAAACCAACCCACCCTATGACAAATAATATGCCCTAACCAACCCCACTTTCTCCTTTTGCGCTATATAATACGTCCACGGTCCCTTCTATTGGATAGAGAGCTTCTTCCAGGGCCACCCCCCCCCCCCCCATCCCCCGTAGAACTTCTTTTCCACCCCCACACCACCCCGAACTAAATGGAGTTATATAGAAAATATATACTTTTACCGGTGTCCGCCCCCCCCCCCTGGCAATTTTAGTTCCCCCCCTCCCGAAAACTTCAAGTGCCCCCCCCCCCCCCGTAGAAAAAAGTCTGGAAGAAATACTGATTGGACATGATGACGATGATATTTTGAGCATATACCTCTATAGAATCGCCCTCTCTTGTGGACACATCTAAATCATTCTCCGGCTGCTCCTGTGCCTCTGTCGTCGACAGCCCGACATTTTCTTGAGGTGCCTCCTCAACCTCCTGCCTGACCTCGCCGTCTGGATAGTCCTTCACGCTTTCATCTTCGTCATCTGCATCATCCATCTGCTCCGGGGTGACCCCCGTGTGTTTATCTTCCCGTGGGTCAAATTCAGAACCGTCTTCGTTGTGAGCATCATCGGGTGTATTGTCGTTTTCGTCTACTTGAGGAAACGGTGTATACTCCAATGTGTTGGACTCGTGGTTTTCGGCAGTTTCCGTTCCGAGTGTAGCGTCATCGACTTCGGCAATTTCCGGCCCGTCTCGAGAGTCGGCGGCTGTGTTCGTTACTCCTTCGAGAGGAAAGCTGTCAGGAATGTCCACCCCTTCCCCTACAGCGGGGTTGGCATCACGTGATTCGGACATTTACGCTGGGGAAAAAATTTTAAAAAATTAAAATTTCAATATTAATTTTTTATAATATATAAAGGAGCAGTTTTATTTTTAAAATATATTATGTAATATTGGACGTCAGAGGCGTAGCGACCCTTCCCGGCGCCAGGGGAGACTTTCAATTTGGCACCCCCTTCGAGAACAATCTTTCAATTTTCAATTTGCACCCCCCCCCCCCACCCTCAAACTTTCAATTTGCACACACCCCCCCCCCCCACCTCAAACTTTCAATTTGCCCACACGCACCCCGCCCCATATATTTTTTTATATTTATAATGCAAATCTGCAGCTAAAATGAGATTTTAATTTGTTTTTACAACCCATTTTGGCGCCCCCTAAGGTCGGCGCCCGGGGACATATGTACCCCCCCCCCCTCGCTACGCCTCTGTTGGACGTCGTTGTGAAGTAGTAGAGCATATTATTAAAACCACTAATGTCTCCAGTTCAGTTCCCGAACTCGATAGCTGCTGAGATTAGTGCTAATGGACACCAGCGAGAAAAGTCTCAAAGGTATTTGAGAGGTGTATAAATTCATTTAAAAATCATGCACAGCGTAGTTACAATTAATATGGTTATAAAATCCTGTCTATCTGGTTTTTTTCGGACTTTACTAAAGATTGGACGTATTTGATGTTTATAATATTTTCGGTAACTAAATAAAAATTAAAAAAAAAGCAAAAACAATTTGGTTTTCACGTGTAATGGCGACATAAACAATGGCATCCTGCTATTGGATAGGCCGCCATTGATTTTATTGTACACATTGTAAGCTAAAAATAGAAAACTAGGTCATGGGGTTTTAAATTTGCATGGTTATTTAAAAACTTGATCTGCAAAGTTTTGTAAACAAATAGTTATCGATCACTAAGTTACTGTACAGCCAATCAATATTTGTCTTACGAAAGTGAAACATCCGGTTATAACTTAGGCTTGATGAAAATAAATAGAAATGTAGCCTTAAACTCAACAAATTATTTTCAAGTTCTCTGGATTTGCAACTTTTATAGCATTTATTCTAAAAATATAAAATTTCTAAATTAATTTTAGGCTTAAGTTTTTATTTTTTATTTTTTTTACGGTCTAAATCTAAAAAGCACGTTTTTATTCCATGTCAACAACATTGGGGACGGAATCTCGTCAACTCGCTCGCCTCCATTACAATGCTGAAGTCACAGAAAAAGATTAACTATACTCTATCCGCTCCAATGACTTTTAAGTCTGCAAGGGGTGACCTTTTTCGCTTATATAAGTAAAATGTTACTTTAAAACGGTGTGTGCCCAATCAATTAGCCTCAGATAAAGATTCTGACTTCTTACTTTACGGGTACCAAGAACCAAGCCGTATCTTTGACCCCGTCCTTTACCTTGACCCTAACCTTAACACATGCAAAACGCCATAAACCTATTTTATCGATAATGGAAACATCAGAAATTTATCGAAGTAATTTAATTTACGGTTGGGTACTAGCATTCCCATGCAACATAAGTAATTTACTAAGACGTTTACAGCAAGCAGGTATTGAAAACCAATTTTATCGTTGATTTTATCGATAACGGTAACATCACAATTTGTCTCGATGTAATTTATTGTAATCTAATTCACGGTTGAGTACTTACATTCACATGAAACTAAAGCACTTTGACAACCTGTTTACAACAAACTATGAGGCGTTAGTGATCGTGAAAAGGTATGTCAATCAAACATAACTGTATTGGAAGCCACATGCTTATCATTTAAACAAGTGGCCATATAGGTCCTTACATACAATGCAAACACATACGAGGTAGCCAGTGAATATAAATCGTGTATGCCTGCAATATGTTATGCTAATGTTATTTGAAACCTAATTGAAAATAAATTAAAGGAAGGTTTTATTGGACCCGTATTGGACGTCTTTGTAGCGAGGGTGATTCAGGGGAGGGCATGGCGTAGAGGTATAGTGTGAGGGGGGTAGATTTGGTAAGTTCGATCAGTGCCCGGGTGACACCGAAACGATTGACAATATTGATTTTGTTTTCTAAACGGCTGGCAAGGGTGTAGTTGAACATGACCTTTTCAAGGGTGCGTGGCATAAGAAGAATATGTACACACAGATACTCACAGATACACACGTGTACAAACTACACACACACACACCACACACACATATATATATATATATATATATATATATATATATATATATATATATATATATATATTCAATTAATGTGCGTGTGATGCGTGCGTGTGTGTAAGCTTGTGTTTCTCATTAACAAATCCGCGAAAAACATGTTTTTAATTTTTTATATATCATAGTAAACAGCTGCGCCTGGTAAACTACTGAACTGAATCATCACATTTTATTTTACATCCTTGTATTCTGAACTGGTTTTAATGCAGATTTTAGCTCAATTTAACACACATAGATCTAAATCATTCTAGTAATTTTGGTCTACAAATTTACAAATTTATCTGGCAAGTACATACTGCCCTTAGGAAAAAATATATCGAGATCCATTTTATAGTTAACATGTTAAACATTGATGGATGATTGTAGGCCTTGAATACCATTTAAACTACTTATTAAGACCTTACAAGTTAAATCGTACCTTATGGCGTAGTAGCATTTTTGTAAGGAATAGGTTATATATTCAATTAATGAACGGCGATTAATATAAAACGTGAGTTAAGTACCCATCAGAGCTGAGTGGGGTCAGGGATGTTCAACTGGCTTGAACCGGATTCGAGACTATGACCTGCCACAATGTGCTTTGTGATACCCTGAGATGTCACCATGTGTTATGTGACACTCCGACATGCTCAAGAACTGGTCGGAACGTGTTTGACTTAAGGGAACTTCCATGATGTTCATAGTCTTTAGCCCTCTCCACTTTACTTGCTGATATCAATGTCCTAATCCTAACTCTACTATTCTGATATCCCTGACCTAACCATTACTCAACTTTTCTTTCTGATATCGCTTTCCTAACCTTAAATCTGACCTTAACACTGAATCTAATGTTACCTTAACACTAACCATAAGTTTACAACGATATAGACAGAACAAAATAATTTGCTACGATACTTTAAAGCCTAACCCGGAGAAGTAACCTATTCATAGCTATAGTTTCCTTTTGTGATGGTTATTTAAAAACAATCAATAATCGATCATCAACTGGGGGCATTCGGTTTATGAATCTAATAATGCAACGCGTAATGTTAAAAAGAAAACAACATTTAGAATTAATTTCCTTTGAGCTGCTGCCATATACCCATAAAACCATGTTTCTCAAATATTTTTTTTTCCAGCAGTACAAAATTTAAACGATTACTTATTTCCTAGGAGTGTCAAAACATTTTTTTTCACAATGTATAAAGAATCCTATTTAGACCTTGCGATCCATTGGGCAGTGAAGTATAGTTTATATGTTTCTTGACCCCGGTATAAGAAGGAAGGTGTGGTCAGCACTTTACCCAGCCGTCTGTACTTTCCCTAACGTGAGTTAGGTACCCATCAGAGCCGTGTAGACGTTCTACTGACTCGGACCCGGATACGAACTCCAGACTTTCGGGTTAGAAGCCTAGCGTTTATTTATCAACGTAGACACGGCAGAAACTATGTCAGTGTATCATGGGCGTATAATTTAACACTTGGTCTGTCAGAGGGGGTATTGGGGGGGGGAGTTACTACACACCGCAAAGACCCCACCCCCACCACCACCACGCCGTCCCATATAATGTATAGATATATAATATTTCTTTATTGCGTGTTAACGGGTTGACCCAAAACACGAGTGGTAACAGTTTAAGACTAATCCTATCCGATAAATACGCAATGGTTTAAATCGGTTTCAAAAGCACTTGTCTGATAACGAATGCTTAAGGGCTGAAACTAAACACCTTTCGTAACACTTCTTTGTGGGTCAGGAAGATTGTGTTTTTTTTTATTGTTTTGCTTTATTGTTTTCCCCTCATAGACACGACAGCACTATGTCAGTGTGTCAGGGGCGTATTATTTTAACATTTGGTCTGTCAGATGGGGTGTTGGGGGGGGGGGGCTACTACACACCGTAAAGACCCCCCCCCCCCCACACACACACAAAAACACAAACCCAATGACAGCTGTCTTACATTAATTTACGGCAGAGGCGTAGCGAGGGGGGGGGAGGCGGGGGGTGCGGACCGCATCGGGTGACACCATTTAGGGGGGTGACACCAAGGCAAAAAATAGCAAAATAAATAGAGAAAAACTTGAGGGGGGTGCAAATCGAAAGATTGAGGGGGGTGAAAATCGAAAATTTGAAAGTTTGTCCCAGGTAAGGGTTGCTACGCCTCTGGGGGGTGACACCATTAAGTGCCGCACCGGGTGACACCCGACCTCGCTACGCCACTGACTTACGGCTACTCGTATCGCTTTCAATTTTAAACATCTAAAAGTCAAAATTTATTATAAACACACACACACACACACACACACACACACACACATATATATATATATATATATATATATATATATATATATATATATATATATATATATATATGTATATATATATATATATATATATATATATATATATATATATATATGAGGCAAACAGCACCCTCCGTGATGACAAAAGATAAACTCCTGCCTACAGAACATGTGTCAGGGGCGTATCACGTTGACACTGTTACCTGTGGCCCAGAATGAGGCCACGTCCCCCTGCTGTGTTTTACACCTGGAGACCATTCTACATTCTTTGGTCTCAATGTGGCCAGGCTACTGCATTACTGAACGGTCTGTTGGTCATGCGAAACAAAATAGGGGGTCCTTGTGAACTGTTGTCTTCTGTTGGGTTGGTGTTGGTGGGTGCCAGACCGCTACACACGAAGCAGCGGGACAAAGTCTGACCAGAAGGACCACAGAAAAGCTGGCAATACTTGACCAGATTGACCGCAGAAGACAATGCTCGACCACTTGTACCACAAAGACCAGATGGACCACAGAAAAGAAAAAGTACTTGACCAGATGGACCACAGAAAAGAAGAAACACTTGACACATATGACAATTCTCAACATTTTGTTTCGAATAAAAAAAATAACCAATTGTTATATTCACCCATGACTTTGTAAGCATATTGAATGGCAAGTTCCTTAAATGGTAAGGTGGAGGGTGGGTACGAATAGTGTAAGATGGGATTCTCACATGTTTAGCCATCTTGACCCTATGAAAACTATTAAGCGCCTGGTGACATAGGTTTCAAGAACCCCGAAACAACTATCATAATGTTAGGTTAGTATTCGTCTACATGCGTACACTTGTATATAAATATTAGGAAAATAAAGAATAACAAAATGGTACTGTAAACTGTTATTCATTATCGATTTTTTAACCTTTTTGTTTCAAATAATAAAAAAACGTTTTTATATAGATCTAAGTCTGTTTTAAAATGTATTGTAATAAATTCACTTTAATTTTTCACAAATAAAATCTTTATTTTTTAAATAAATTATTTTACAAATAAATTTAAATAAAAAATAGGATATTTAACATAATGACAGTAGTAAGTGTTAACTAACTGTAACACCTAATGTATTTTTTACTAGTTTTAGCTGTTTAATTAGGACACTATTAAAAACAATATCGTTAATTAAAATTTAAAAAAATTGAACATATCTACCGTGAGGACGATACATAGACAACTTTGAATCCAAATTTGGTAGATCCGATTTCACGTAACATGAAAGCCTGGCCGCCACTATAAAGTTAATCAGACCAATTTAAATGGTGTGCTCCCCCCCCCCCCCCACATATATAAATCAAGACGATCGTTGGTCTTTCAGAGGTTTGGGGTTGCGTAAGGGCGTACCCATTATGTGTCGGCTTGAAGTTAAGGTCGGGGTTGTGTTTATTATTTTTTTTTTACTTTTGATATTCTTATAACAGATGGGGATATAAGGGGAGAAAAGGGGAGGGGGATACCGGCAGGGGTGGGGATATATGGGGATGATGTACTGACAGAGGTGGGGAATGTGGGGTGGGTGATATACTGACAGAGGTGGGGGATAGGGGGGGGGCGGGGATATACTGACAGAGGTGTAGGTAGATGGGGAAATACTGGCAGAGGTCGGGGGTATGAGGGGCGGGGATATACTGGTAGAGGTGGGGTGTATGGTGGGGGGGGGGGGCGGGCGGAGATATACTGACAGTGGTGGGGAATAAGGGGGCGGGGATATACTGGTAGAAGTGGGGTGTATGGGGTGGGGATATACTGGTAGAAGTGGGGTGTATGGGGGTGGGGTTACTGACAGAGGTGGGGGATTATGTGGGGGTATACTTGCAGAAGTGGGGCGGTTATTGGGGGGTATACTTGTAGGGATGGGGGATTATTGGGGGATATACTTTTAGAGGTGGAGGAATATGGGGGGATATTCTGACAGAGGTGGAAGAAATGGGGGGAGGGGTATATACTGACTGGGGGGTGGGAATCTATCGGCTGAATCGGGGGAAAAGAGACAAGAGCGGCAATGTATTCCGTGTTTCCTGGGTAGAGGGGGGGGGGGCACTGAGTTAAGACTAAGTATTACAACAGGCGAACACAACGTACTTGATGCATACACGAATTGCTGAACACACACTGAACTATTTGTGTATATTTGATTTCAATTAAATTTTAACGAAATAATTTAAAAAAAAAACATTTATTTAGCCCTACACCCCCCCCCCCCTTCATCCCCACCGTGATTCCCGCCTTTGAAAATTCCACTTACCAACTTAAGTGATTGATATTCGTCCCCTGTATGTCAGCCCCCCAGGCTTGACAGGGTTGTGCAGACCAATCGATTGATCATGTATGCTTATCCTGATCAATGTGTACGGTCGTTATTAAACGGCGGATCTGAAGCGTGAAAGGTTGGCCTAACTCCGGCTTTATTATACACGCACACATGTGTGAGTGTGTGTGGGGTAGAAAAGGGTGGGGGTAGAGAGGGGAAGTTAATGCTTGTTTATTATCTCGCACTTAGTGGTTTTAAAGATGTTTTCAGTTTGCAGAATCGTGGGTGGTTGCTGGAGTTTTTAGCAACGGGATATTGGGTTAAGATATATATATATATATATATATATATATATATATATATATATATATATATATATATATATATATATATATATATATATATATATATATACATATATATACATATATATATGTATATATATATGTATATATATATATATATATATATATATATATATATATATACATATATATATATATATATATATATATATATATATATATATATATATATATATATATATATATATATATATTTATATAGATATTTATGTGTCTGCATGTAAGTCTGTCTGTGTGTGTTTGTGTGTGTGTGAGTGTGTGTGAGTGTGAGTGAGTGTGAGTGTGTGAGTGTGTGTGTGTGTGTGCCAATATTGTCGGCCTTTTGTCCATTTCTGTCTCTTGGTGTGCAATTTTCATTTGACGGTTTTTATCGGACGACCTAAGGTCTATCGTCTTTTTGTATATGCCGGCATTTTTTTCCAATCGGGCTTTTGTTATCATTTGCCTTGAATTCTAAACCCCAAAATGCCACATTTAGCACTATCTAATTATATAAGGAATAAAATACTTCACTTCTTTTTTTTTTAACTTTTTAAACTTATTTTTTTAATATGAATAGAAAGTGAAATATATGAGTAAAAATTAATTCTAAATGTTGCTGCAAGGGGAGGTAATAAAATAATATTTGGTAATGTTTTCTATAGTGTTCATCTCCCCTTATAGATGCTATCATTGTAAGCCTAGCTGCACGTTGAGTTTCAGATAAGGGTTAAAAAGACACATCCGAGTTTACTTCAGTCATTTATTTCTGTGGATGGAGGAGGGGGGGGAAGAAGCACTTGAAATTTTGGGGTGGGGGAGGGTAAAGTAACGGGGATGTTTGTTGAAGTGAATATTTAATACATACATTATACATATTAGCATTTCAGGTGGTGGTTTATCGTTGCAGGCCTATTATACTGTATTATGTGAGGTATAGACATTTTTTTTTCGCCGGCCTGGCGACGAAATAGTTCGCCAGGCTACTGCGAGGTAGGGAAAAAAATATATAAAGCACATTCTGAGCTGCATTACATAAGTGTGGTTAATAAAATAGATGGCTACTTGACTTAAAGGACTTCTTTAACATTTCTCTACATCAATTATGTGATATCATAATTAAAAAAAGGAAAACGACTGGTAAAAACGCCCCGACTTTCCAAAATTGGAGAGGGGGCGCATTTTAACCAACGTCAATATCTATATAAATGGCGGGGTGAGGGGTGCGCAAAGTTAATAGTTCCCCCAGGCACCGGAATCGGTCGCTACGCCTCTGGGATGAACACTGGTTAGAGAATGTTTTTTCAATGCAATTTTTAGCGCAATTTCCATACTGGACAATTGCGATTATCAACTCGTTATTTCTGGATGGATGGATGTGTGTCCGCAGCCTTTAAGTCGTATCTCCTCCTCAACGAAGCAATATCGAGGACTAGTTCCAAAAGCAAATATGTTAATAAGCATCCGAGGATGAACATAGGCCAAAAAAATTCCCGGAATTCCTTCCTGGATTTCCCGGAAAAGCCAAAAAACCTCGAACAAATGCAGTTTTTGCTCCATATCTCGGCAACCAGACCACTTAGCGACTTGAAACATTTACCAATCGATTCCTGCCATAATTTAGACCAATATTGCCGAATAGAGTTTTCAAAAATATCCTTTCGTTCGGTCACAAAAAATTAATTAAGAACATTTAAACTGAGCATCTTGTAGGCCTAGGATGATTTAAACTGAGCATCGTGTAGGAGTTTATATTTATAGGATGATATTTACAAAAAAATTTAAAATTTAAAATTGTTATGGATAACATAAGGAAATTGAGCTTAAATTGTCACTAGACTTTTTATTAACTTGTTTTTTAAAAATATATCGACTTGAGCAATGCCTGAACAAAAGCTTTGTAAGACACATCTGAAAAGCACATTGGCTAGACACATTGTCAAATGTACGCCTCAGGCAGGTGTGGAAAGAAGCAGAAACAGACGGAATGTCGTGGACCCAATTTGGAGGAATCGCCCAAAACCGAATATGTTCTCTCAAAACCGAGTACGATCGCCCAAAACCGAGCACGATCGCCCAAAACCGAATACGATCGCCCAAAACCGAGTACGATCGCCCAAAACCGAATACGATCGCCCAAAAACCGAGTTCGATCGCCCACAACCAAGTACGATCGCCCAAAACCAAGTACGATCGCCCAAAACCGAGTGCGATCGCCCAAAACCGAGTACGATCGCCCAAAACCGAGTACGATCGCCCAAAACCGAGTACGATCGCCCAAAACCGAGTACGATCGCCCAAAACCGAGTACGAACGCCCAAAACCGAGTGCGATCGCCCAAAACCGAATACGATCGCCCAAAACCGAGTACGATCGCACAAAACTGAATACTATCGCCCAAAACCAAATACGAACGCCCAAAACCGAGTACGATCGCCCAAAACCGAGTACGATCGCCCAAAACCGAGTGCGATCGCCCAAAACCGAGTGCGATCGCCTAAAACCGAATACGATCGCCCAAAACCGAGTGCGATCGCCCAAAACCGAGTACGATCGCCCAAAACCAAGTGCGATCGCCCAAAACCGAGTTCGATCGCCCAAAACCGAATACGATCGCCCAAAACCGAGTTCGATCGCCCAAAACCGAATACGATTTCCCAAAACCGAATACGATCGCCCAAAACCGAATACGATCGCCCAAAACCGAGTACGATGGAGAGGTAACGTTGCGTCTCTGTGCTCCTCAAGCGGTCCACAGGAATGATGATGGTGATGATGAGGTATGGACAGAGGCGTTGCGACCCTTCCCGGCGCCCGGGGACAAACTTTCAATTTGGTGCCCCCCTCGGGAACAGCCTTTCAATTTGCACCCCCACTCAAACTTTCAATTTGCACCCCCTTCAAACTTTCAATTTGCACCCCCCCCCCTCAATCTTTCAATTCTTTTATACAGCCCATTTTGGCGCCCACTAAGGTCGGCGCCCGGGAACATATGTACCCCCCCCCCCACGCTACTCCTCTGGGTATGGAAACGGCCGCTCCCCCTGCTCCCCCCCCCCCCCCCCCCCTGCGTACGCTACTGAACTGAACCATTAATTTCAACGCAATAATAATTTTCGTCTTCTAAGTAGCATGTTACATCATAATGAATACCGAAAATATACAAAAAGCTGTAAGCCTGGTGTAACTAATACTGCTATATATCTAATTGATGTAACAAACGAAAATTAGGCTCGAAAAGCTTAGCCTAGAAACTATTATGCTTTTTTAGGCCTAGGCTAGGCTAAATTAGAATATAAAGGGAGACTATTTATATCCGCCAGGAGTCGCTTTAAATCGGCTTTCCATGAACAGCCAATAGTATAACAGAGAACTTGCAAGATTCCCACTCATGTCAAGCTTCCTTCTTTTCTCTACGCCATTTTTTTCCTGAACATGGCTGATAACCCTGGGTCTGCCCAATTCGACGGAACAAGTGCTTTTGCTTCGGCTGTGGCTCGTGCAAGACAGGTATATTTATTGCATTGAATATGTTTTTAATATTAATAAAGAGATTTAAAAAACACATCATAAATGTTGCTTCGGGCAGAATTAATTTTAAATGGAACACGTGGTAAAAATTTGACGGTCAATTCTGCACTGACGACAGGCCTCGCTGGAAAGTCACACCATTGTTCTCCATTTCCCTCGGTCTTACTAAAAAGCTCTGTTTGTAGGATTTACTTTTACCTTATAAAATATCTGCTTAAGTAGTTCCTGAACTTATCAGTTTGTTTCAGATATATTTTGGACTGAAATCTCATAATTTTCGTTTTAATAGCACTCAGAATTTGCAGTTCACAAGGACAAGCCGACCCAGATATTTCAGAGAACCTGCTCAATCATCCATTTGATTATTTAAGATTTCTTCTCCTACTTTAAACTTGTGTAGACAATCCTGATCTTAATCAGTAACAGTTTTAATAAACATGATACTTTGCAGTTTAGGCTAGTCAACTTTTATTTAAAAATTATGTTCACACAGACTGAAAATCACAGATTAGCAGGGCCTAGGACTTAGGAGTCTACCGCCTATTCTAGATATAGAATCTAGGATCTAGCCTAGAGAGAGATCTAGATATTAGATGAATCTATATCTGGACTGTTAGATCCTGCATTTCTTCTAACTATTCAGTATTTTAGAGTTAAACCTACACATTGAGACCTACACTTAATGCATTTTTAACTTTCACTTCAAGCCAGCAGGCTGTGCAAAAGTGCATTCTTGCCACATTGACATTTCAATTTAGCCTTATTTAGCTTATTAAAAATGCAAGGTCTAGAACTACCTGGTTGTGTAAATTGTCATAGATAAATTACCATCACAAGATCTAGTTGATAATCTTCTAGGGATGAGTGGACATTTTATGCACATTTCTGCTCCCTACCTACCAATACATATTTTTTACAGCTATTACATTTAAAAGTTGTCAACAAGACTGCGCAGGTTCTTCCTGGTCATTTAATGTTTTTTTTTTACTTTCAGAAAATATTTTTTAACATTTGCAGAGTAGTAGTTTCATAAATGCTTTTTTTCTTCCAGGTTTCACATTGGAAATTCTAAAAATGAAAATTTGTTTGCTATTATTATATAAAGTATATATTAAATAATTTATGTATGTTATGATGAATCACCAAGTTGACGTTTTTTATTGTATTGATTTTTATGATGGGTTTATACTGTGCTTAAAAATGCAATGGCTTTAATACTGTTAAATGATAAGAATGTGTAAAATCAAATTTTTTACTTGCAAAAAACTTTGCATAAATATTTTTGCTGCTGCTCTACGTTGACATGCATTTTTTGTCAGTAGTTTTGTATTTTGTCATGCAAAATACCAGATTGTTTTCAGAATAAGATAAGATTTGAGGCTTCTTTAATTTAAACAAAGAAACTGCAACAGGTGATTCAGCGGAAACTATTATGGCCTCCACAAAATGCTAACCATATGTTTTTCTCTTTTTTCCCCTTCCCGTCCCCATTTCCCATTTTTCTTCTCTGTTTCGTGCATTTGCCTGTTCGCCCTGTGTAGATAGCAGCCAAGATCACACCAGGAGCAGGGGACGCACAAGTGCAAGGTATCAAGAGACCTTTGGATGATGGCGCCTCCTTTGGTAAATTAGATCATTTTTCTCAAATTAAAAAGACATTGCAATCCTGAAATTCAGCAAGATAAACATAAGCAAGTTTCCCATATTATTTTGAAGCTGTGGTAAGAATTTCGGGCGCGATCAAAAGAGAATTGCAGTAATATTTTTTTTACCAGTGAATAAAGTTACTGCATGCTATTAAAAACTCTTGACCTACATATGGCCTAAACACTAAGTTTTTTTTCCCATCTTGATTTTAAAAAAAAAAACAACCTTTAAATATAATTTTTTTTAATGAAATGGTATAGAAATCCTTTTCTTTTTGTTACAATTCTAAGTATTTAAATTATCACTAGAAATTTTTTTTCACATTTAAATAAACTAACCTTTGCACATTTTATACCAAACCTGACATTTATAATATCCAACCTTGCTTTTTTTTTGTAGATAGTAAAAAGGCTTGCTATTCTTTTCAAAGGTTTTTTGCTTATGATAGAGGTGATATTAGATTTTTTAAAGTAAACCTTGCGCCAAATCATAGGCTAAATTTTTTTCAAAAAGTCAACTGGCTGTGCCTTTTATTCCAAATAGTAACCACGGCTGATAATTGCTGCTGAAAAAAATATAACTTTATTGAGATAAAATGTTTTCTAAACTAAAAGGGGGCATCATCTGTCTAGTTGGTCAGTTTTTATTATTTTGTATTGTGTTTGTAATTTCAATGCTTTTATTTTTAAAAATTCTTTTGATAAATACATTCCGTGTTACATTTTTTTGATTCACAACTTGTGATTTTTTTTTTACATTTGTTCCGATTTATAAATGTTTGTCTTTATCAGCTTCTGTTGAAAAAGACATGTCTATTATACAGCATTGAAGTTTATAAAAAAAATTATGCCATTTAAATGATGCAGTAGCTAAATATTAAGGGATTGTTACATGTTAAATAACAAGAAATTAGAATTAACATTTTTATCATGTTTTGTCACAGAAACGTCAATTATGACCCTTTTTGAAAATACAATTATGCCTGCATGTTTTTCTCTGACCTATATTCTACACTTTGTATAATTTGTTTCTTACATGTTCTAATGATTTGATTATAACAGCTTCTAATGTGCAATTTATTGAAACATGCCCCAGACATTTTGTTTTCTCAATTCAGTATTTCTTATTTTTTTGTTTGGCTTTGATAGGCCTTTAAGTTTTATTTACTTTTTCCACTCAAATCGAGGCATGGAGAACAATGTTTTTATGTTCTAATAGTTACCAAAAAAATTGCGAGCTTGTATTTACATTGTTTGCTAAATTTGTTTTCTATATGAATTAAGTGGTAAGCAATCATGCATTCTTAAAACTGCTTTTTCATGAGTATTCTTGACATGCTTAGAGTATTGAAATAGGTATGAAAATAATCTTATGTCTCACAGTTCTTATGATGCAATCTTGTAGCATATTTTGACAGTTGTATGAAATGACTTGTGATTTATTGTGATTCATTGATTCCAATATTAGTTTCAAATTAATGTTTCATATCTATGCATCTCTTCCTTTCTTTTTCTATGTTGGTAAACAAGTACTCAGGTGCAAGTTGAGAATTGATTTAATGCTTACATATCCATGCATTGTTGCCCACGTTATCTTATTTTGGTGGTTAGATGTTTACCTTTTTAGAATGTAGATGGTTTTATATGATGAAATTCAGACGGGCGGACTGAGCAATGAACTGAAGAGTCGTCTATTTCTGATAAGCTGTACTACATTCCACACCTTTGGTGTATTTTGAATAGCATTCTTATTAATCTGGATAACACATTTTCAGAATTAAATATTTTTTGGTTTTCTTTTAAATAAGCCCCTAAAGTCTGCACTAATTTTTTATATTCCTGTATTGTATTTTTTTATTTCGTTGCAGGTGAGCCAGAATCGAAGAAAGTAGCTGGTGATTGTAAGTTAAAGAATAGCCAAAAAGAAAGATTATCTTCCTTTTTAAAAAAATTAAAATTAGCAATTAAGTAGTTTTACATTAAAATTTTGTTTACCTCAGTACTTCAGTATCCTAATCAAATTATGTTGCAGCATCAATAGGTGCACAGTTAAGAGCTATTGCTGATAATCAAGGGTAGGTATTCATTTTTTGCATTTATTCTTAACCATTTTTTAAAATTCATTTCATCTTTGCACATCAGATTTTGTTACACAATTTTAAATTAGATTTGGTCAAGGCACAGCAGACGCTGCTCGAGCAGCTCAAGAAGCAGCAGCAAGAATCAATAGACAATTGGGTATTCAACCCGATCCAAGCATGCAGCCTCAAAAGCCAGGACCACATGCTGGGCTAGGAATGGTGACTACAGAGGAGCATAGGGTGCCTGATAAGATGGTTGGATTAAGTATGTATATATCACTAAAAACAGCTTTCTTTTACTTCATTAATATACAGACATGTCTACCATCCCTCCAAAAGCGGAGATAACTCGCGTCCTGTTCCTTCGGAGTTTGTTCGGTTGTTTTTTTAATAATTGATAAGGAACAGTAATAGAGCACAAATTTCAGTTTCCTTACAAGTGTAATCTAATACTAGAACTACTATACTAATGATGTGGATAATCTGGCTTCTATACAGGTTTTTTAGTATTTGCATTGATTTGTAAATTTAAATTATACCTTAAATAATATGTAGGGAGAAAATTACAATAAAATCATGACTAACACGCTAGTTTCTAGATAGTAGATCTATATATATATAGTAGAATTACTCTTACTGATCTATCTTGTTTGTAATTAAGTTGTAACTGGATCTAGTAACTACTTTTATAAAGAACACAGAAGTAACAAGGACTTACTATGTAGATCTAGGTCTTAGCTCTTAACTTGTATTTTATATTACATACCTTCAGCATTCGTTGTTCATATAGCCTAGAACATAGCAAGTTAGGAATAATCAAATCAATAATGTTATGTCAAGCTATGGTTTTTAGAAGCCTGCTAATGTCATTGGACTTTTTTATTTTTGACTTAGTAAAGTAGCGTCAGCGCGTAATTTCCTCTTTTTTGCTCCAAATTCCTCTTTTTAGGCATGACTGTTCCTACTTTTGGCTGACAGGGGTAGGCATGTCTGAAAATTCCTGTTAACTATTCAGTTTTACCTTAAATTTAAAAAATCAGTGCTTAATGTTTTGTGGCTTAATCTTAGCCATTTGTATGGCCAGTAAGCAAAATTGCTATAATTAGGCAGAACTAACTGGCTGAGAATTTTTATAGATTCTTGGAATTCTTCGTTCTGTGACAGTATTGCAAGGATTTCGCTAACACTGATGAGATATATTATCTCCTTAATCAGGGTTTGATAGTAGACCATGCTACACTTTGTGTAAGCTTTTGACGTAACACATTTATTTTAGTTTAACAAACGGTTTATAGTAAAAAAAAAAATCGGGATCAGCATCAGTGCTTAGCTGTAGTCTAGTGATGATTGTTTGGTTACATGGTAGCCAAAATTTATGAAGATTAAAACCCTCACCGTACCCTGTGATTTACCAGCCTTTCAGTACATGGTGTACATCAATTTGGTGTAGTAGGTTCAGGGTTCGTACGCAGTCTGGAAAAAGTCTTGAATTTAGAAAAGTGAATTTAAGACTTAAAAAAGTCTGGAAAATCGCTAGTTTTTGGGCAGGATTTTTTAAAAGTCTGGAAAAAGTCTGGAATCTAGTTTTAGAAACAAAACTTTGTACTCTATATTTTCCAACTTAAAAAATTGTTATTTTTAATTTTAAGTGAATTTACTCCAATTTTTTTTCCCCGCGCTGTGGCGCGGGTTTACTCTCTGTTGTGACGTTTTTCGCTGGTTCGCGGAAAAAATGCTCAGTTACTACGTCATTGGGAGATGAGGGGAAGGGAGGGAAGAGATATTTTGTCGCTCGACTGACCGTGTGAATGTGTTACAAGTACTTAACATTGTCGTTTAATGAAAGAACGATCGCCGTCATGATTGTTAGGCTCTCGGTTTTACCCGCTATTGTTTCATCGTTTGAGGTTGCATGCAGGCAGTCATCACAAAAAATTATGGGGGAGATGTGTGAGTGGTAGTTTAGATATAATTTATCAGTCTGTAAGGCGTCATCCATTTATGACTTACAACATTTTTTCCGATTTTAGACCCCCCCCCTTTCCCCACCCCCGCCCCCCCCCCCCTTCGCCCTCTGTCCACACGCGTTTGCTTACTTTGGATTAATATTAACATTTTTAAGATTAATAAGTTGCAAGCTCTCCTTGGGTTCATACCTGTATTTCTGTTTGCTTCAGCTTAACAAAGAGGTACTATTTTTATTTAGGAGTCGTCCATAAATGACGTCACACTCCGGAAAGTAGGGAGGAGGGTTTTATAAAGTGTGACCACACGCTCTTGCAATAATGTTAGGGCAGATATAAATACCTTGTTTTATTAACACGTTGTGATGGTTTTTTTTAAAACACCAGCACAGTCGTCTTAATTTTACTTTCTACTCGCAAGATACAAGTTTTATGTTTGTTTTAGAATGTAATCACAAAATCTTCCAACCCCTTCCCACTTCCATGTGTACGTCATAAATGGATGACCCCTTTAATTTTAATTCACCTTCCGTTAAACTGTTTTTGAAATCTTTGCAAATGCTGAAGATTAAAGTTAGACTACCCAAATTAATACATTGCATTATTATTCTTTAAAGTAATTAACTCTCACTATTATGCAATACCATTTTAATGATAGTCTAATTGAAAACATAAGCAATTAGATCAGGAACATATTACACAAGTCTAATGTTGGAAACAAAATAGTTGCATCATTTTAATCAATTTTTAATTGTTAAAATTTTAGGTAGGTGGAGTAGGCAAACTTAGAAAAGTGATTTTCTGTCAATTTGGCTAGAGAAAGTTCACTATGAATATAGCTCAATTGCCTAACATAAATGTCAATTTAGTATAAGTAATTATGATGACAGTACAAATAGTGCATCATTTTAAAAAATTATTCGCTAACACTTTATCTGTCTAAAGTCTGGAATTTTTCCAAAAAAGTCTGGAAAATGTCTGGAAAAGGTCTGGAATTTCATTTTCAAAAAGCAGTACGAACCCTGTAGGTAGTTGGAACTTTTGTGAATTCAGCAGTAAGATCAGCTCTTAACTGACTGGGTGTGAGGGAAACAATACCCTTTTGGATGGCAAATGCACCAATATATCATTTGACACAATTTCCATTTAACAGGTCCCTTTTGTCATGGTAAAATAGTTAATGCATTACATATACAATTACCGCTCCTTTTTTTTTAGTCATCAAAGTTAATTTTAACATACTGTGTTTATACTTGATAGTATGCGGATTAACATTTTTTTAAAGTTATTTTTCGATAATTGTCATAAGCTACCTGTAAAAAATGCTGTTATACTATGTTTAAACAGAACTTACTGGCCGTGAGTTAAATCAACTCCTGGAATTCCTCGTTCTGTAACATAAATTTGCAAATATTATGCTTCTAGTGATGATTAATCATACCTTTATAATCAGAATTAGATAGTACCTGCTACACTATTCTTTAATTTTCTTGCTTTTTTTCATAAGCTACCTGTAAAAAATGCTGTTATACTATGTTCAAACAGAACTTACTGGCCGTGAGTTAAATCAACTCCTGGAATTCCTCGTTCTGTAACATAAATTTGCAAATATTATGCTTCTAGTGATGATTAAACATCCTTTTATAATCAGAATTAGATAGTACCTGCTACACTATTCTTTAATATTTTTTTTTTTTTTTTGTTTTTTTCTTTTGTTATTGATTTAAAGGCTGAGCACCAGTCATTTTGCAAAGCTTGTTAAATCCTCTTTCTTGAGTCGAAGATTTAATGTAATGATGTGCGATAGTCATGTTTAAGAATCTAATTTTTACCTAATTACAGTGAGGTTCCTGTAGTGGTCATTTAATGGAAATGTCCTTAATGCATTTTAAAAATATTAAGCAATGTTGTTGATTTCATGAACAAGCAGTACTTAATGCAGAACTAACTGGCCGTGAGTTTAAATTATAAACTCCTGGAATTCCTCGTTCTGTAACATTGTGTTGCAAGGATTTCGCTAACACTGATGAGATTATCCATCTCCTTAATCAGGGTTTGATAGTAGACCTTGCTACATTGGTACCATTATTTAATTTAAAATTCAATTATCACTTGTTCTTTGTATGATAGTTCTAACTGCTAAATTTTCTTTTACTTTCTTTAGTTATTGGAAAAGGTGGAGAACAAATTACAAGGTTACAAGCTGAAACTGGCTGTAAGGTCCAGATAGCTGCTGGTATGTTGTGCATGACAGACCTGAACAACTTTCAAAGCTGATCATCTTAATTTTGCTTTGCTTTTATTGTTAAGAATTCTTATTGCTTCTTGGCTATCTAAGTACCTTTTTAAATAAAAAGTACAAGTTCTCTTATCAAACCTGATGGTTTATAGGGCAAGTGAAGTAGAGTTCACTTGTTTCTGTGACCTCTGCATATGAAGTTACCTATATTTTTAAACTAAAACTTAATTGTATTATGATTTGATATGATGAAGCTTGTTGACGGGCGGACTGAATAACCTTGTTGACTGTCAACTTCTGATCAAATTATGTACCTTTTTGAACATTGATCTTTAAGTAAATAATTTATTTTTTGCAGACAGTGGTGGAATGCCTGATCGACCTTGTACACTAACAGGCTCGCCTACCTCCATTATGTAAGCATTGCCGTTATATGGGATCTTTATTTATTTCAAATGTTGAATTTCGTTTCATGTTCAACATTTATCCATGTTTTTTTTCATAGGATGTGTAAGCAAGCTATGCAGCAAATTATTGAAAGAGGCCAGGGTGGAGGACCACATATGGGAGGAATGGATGGCATGGGAGAGGGTGGAACTGTAGTTGAAATGAATATTCCTGGTTCTAAAGTTGGACTTATAATTGGAAAAGGTGGCGAGACAATTCGCCAACTGCAGGTCAGTTGATTTTTAAATGTAAATATAAATCATGTAGTAATCAATTTAAAAAATGTGATTTTTCTTAGTCTTGTTAAATTATTCTTTCAGGAAAGAGCAGGTGTTAAAATGGTGATGATCCAAGATAGTAATGCTCCATCTGCCCATGATAAGCCATTACGCATTAGTGGTGATCCATCTAAGTGCCAGAGAGCCAAGGAAATGGTTCTTGATCTACTAGCTGAAAAAGATGGAGTTCCAAGACCAGGTGGTGGTGGTGGTGGATTTAATGAGTTTGGCTCACCAATGGGACACATGGGTCATGGCGGTGGTGGTGGTGGCCCCAATGGAATGGACATAGGTGTTCCCAGGCAAGGAGTGGGTTTGGTCATTGGCAAAGGTGGTGACATGATCAAGAAAATTCAAACGGAAACTGGTGCTAAAGTTCAGTTCAAGCCAGGTTGGTTCTTGTGTACATCATTATGAGTTCAACAGTTATTGCAGCATTTGTGTTAATTGATATTATTGTATAAGCTTTTATGGATTGTTATAATTAGCTGGATTAAACAATATTTGTTTTCTCATAATTAGCATCCATATTGTTTCCTTAAATTTAAGATGATGGCCAAAGTCAAGATAGAATCTGTTCAGTCACAGGTCCTCCTGACAAAGTACAACAGGCTGTAAGAATGATTCAGGACCTACTGGCCAAGGCAAATATAATGGGGGTTGGTATTATTCCTTCATTTACTGTAGACCTTGATTTTCATAGCCCCTACTTTTGGCAATTTATTTACAATCAAAATCATGGGCACTGAAAAATATAGGCCAGATTTGAAGGTTTATTTCTTACCTCTTAGTTAAATTACTTTAATTCAAAGCTCATTTAAGAAGCCTATGCTCAATTGAGCTGTATTTGTAATGATGATTAAACAAGTATTACTTAAGCCAAAACTTGTAGGTATACACTTTCTAATACTGCTGTAGACCAATGTCAGTGTTAGTACTAAATGCAAAATTAAAATTAGTTTCAAATTTTTACATACAAAATTTCATGCTGTTGCTTGCCATGTATTTTCCAGTGTTCAAAGATGTGAGTTAGTGTCTAGTTGACTTCCTGGTCAAAACCCATACATGTCCTCACTAATGGAAATTGAAAATCTCTATTAATGCATTAATTTACCAGTTTTTTTTAATAATGTTGGCCACTGAATTTTTGTGACCCATGTCATAAAATTAACCAAATTTTATTAGGCTTACTTTTTAAAACAATGTTGGTAATAGTATTCTTTTACATTCAATCTAGTTATAAGAATATGCAAGTGTAGCTGACCTACAGGTTTTAGAGGTTTTATTTTTAATCTTTTTTTTAATATTGTAATGAAATACAGGGTCAACCCATTCACAACTATGGAGGTCCAATGGGTCCTGGACCTGGCAATGATATGGGAAGAGGTGGACCAGGAAATGGTCCTTTCTCTCCACCAGGTCCTCGTGGTGGCATGGGTGGAAGGTTTGATCCTAACTTTCAGGATCACACAACTTTCACTGTACCTGCAGATAAATGTGGACTAGTTATTGGAAAAGGTATGTTCATTTTTACAAGCTATTGAACTTGAAGTGGTAGCAATTGGCTCAAAAGTGAAAGCTTTATTGCCTAAAATTGTCATATTAAAATAAGATAACAATTTATGCATGTTTTTTTTTTTTTTTTAATGGTGATTCATCAGTTGGAAGGTATTTTTCAGTGGGTATGAATCCTTTAATGTACAAATGTATTTAAGGAAATAATTTGTTTTCTTTCAATATTTACCTTTCTAAATAGGTGGTGAAACCATTAGAGAAATCAACCGCCAGTCAGGAGCCCATGTTGAGTTGGATCGTAATCCACCACCTAATATGAGTGAAAAAGTGTTTAATATTCGAGGCAATCCTAATCAGATACAACATGCTATTCAACTCATCCAAGAAAAAACCGGTCAGCAAGGGCCTAATGATCAGGTCAGTCACAGGTTTATAAAGATTTTGCATGCATTATAAATTATAAATTCATAAAAATTATAATTGTACTTAATTTTTACAGGGACATGGCCCAGGTGGTGGTCCTGGTGGTATGATGGGTGGACCTGGGGGTCCTAATGGTCCACCAGGAGGACCTGGGCCCCAGGGTGGACCTGGTGGCCCAGGACCACAAGGCCCAGGAGGTTATGATCAGTTTGGGGGACAATTTGGTCAGCCAAAGTGAGTATAGCAATTCGTAAAGGAAAAAAAACTAAAACTTGCTGTGCAGATAATTAGAGCTTATTACATTGTTTTTAATGTTGTAAGTGTCGAATGTCTGCTATAGTATACTGCAAGGAATTATGGAATGACATGTCTTGCTTGTGGACTACATTGTTATACCTTCAACTTACCTTGCAACATTTTTTTTTTTAAATGCTGTAGTCTCAGTGACTCTTAAGCTTAGGTTTACTGTTCTGATCACTACAGCAATGAGATTAATTTTGAGAGTCCACTTGGATTTTTTTTTTGAAACATGTTTATCATCCTCATTTTATTTCATGTTTGTTCAGGTGCACTGCTTTTGAAAGTTTAGCTAGTTAAAACATTAGTATGCAAATTCCACTTCTGATTTAAGTTTTGAAATAAAGTAATGGTTTTTAAATTTGCTTACTTCTATAGTCAGCCACCTCAGCAACAGTATGGTGGTGCCCCACAGGGTTGGAATGCCTATGGGAATCAGTACCCTCAACAACAAAATATGCCTAGTAAGTGGGTTTTTTCCAAGTTTTTAGTACACTTTTACTAATATATTGCTGTGCTGGGTTATTTATCTTTATTTTATTATATTTAGATAAGCAACCAAATGATGCAAATGCAGCAGCATGGGCAGCCTATTACTATGCTACTTATGGCCAGGGTCAACCAGGACAGCAACCAACTGCACCTCAACAGCCTGCTACACCACAGCAGCAACCAATGCAACAGCAGCAGCCTGCTCAGACTTCCTACGCTCAACCCAGTGAGTTGAGAGTCAATCACAGTAGGTTTAGATAGGACTTCCACTACTCGCCACATTGACTGTGCCGAGTTCTGGATTATTAACATTTATCAATGCACAAAAAGGGTGGCTTTGGTTTGAAAAGATTAATTTTAAATGTAAATTTATATGATGGTTGGTGATTTACCAATAATGGGGTTGCTGTTTTAATTTGCTAATTTGCTTGAATGGCAAAGATGTTACTACTAAGGTCTTCTTTATGTGCAAATTTATATTGTCTGTTAATTTATTAGCTAATATTGTACATTGGTACTACAGTGAGAGAAAATTAAATTATCGCTATTGTGTTGAGACAGCTTCATTTTTGTTAAAGGTTAAAATTTGAGTCAGTCTGTGATTAATATGTATTGAATTGTTAAATATTAAACTTATTTTAATATCACAAGATGGCTTTGGAACTGCAACTAAATAGACTTTTTTTAATTTCAATTTTCATAAATTTTGACAACTGTTTTTTTTTTTATTATACAGCTATAAACCCCCAAACTGGCCAGCCTGACTACAGTCAAGCATGGATTGAATATTATAGGTCTCAAGGCATGATTCATGAGGCTCAAATGGTTCTGCAGCAGGTGGCAGCTAATCAAGCTGCTGCTCAAGGTGGTCAGCCAGGACAACAGTGACTAGCAGATTCTTGGAGTGGAGTTTGATTTGTTATTTTGTACCCAAGTATGTTAAGTTTTTATTTTTAAAATTTGTATTCAGTGCTGGGTTTTTTTTCTGTGGACTTTTTTTTAGATCTCATCAGCCTAAAATAATTCTTAAAGGAATTTACATCTTGGTACAATTTTAGTTAATGAGAATGAAAGGAATAACTTTTTTTTTCAGTATTAACTTGATCGAGATAGCTTTTGTTGTGTTAGAGTGTATGAAGAAATACGCTTCACTTAAGCTTGGGGACTACAGCTGCAGATGCGCACTTTTTATAGTCTTGCTTTAAGATGTAGGGGATTATTTATGTAATGGGTAGTGATTTTATGTTAATTTGGCTGCCGTGGTAAAACATCCTTAGAATACTTTTTGTGGGAATGTCTATATCCTATTTTATTAAAAGAAAAAGATAACCTTATCCCTTAATTTGTGCATTCGTGTTGTATTTGCTGGTGTTTGCAATATTTATCGTTATCATTAAATATTAACTTGTTAATTTCTAAACAGTTACATATATCTGTATACTACATAATTGGTGATGATTGAAGTTTCTGTAATATTCTTTAGTAATGCCATTGTTAAATCACTCAGATTTATCACTTAATAAGTTACAATACCTTGCATTTTTCTATTTTAAATAGGAGTGATAACCCCCTTTTATATTTTTATATTTCTGTAATCAATGACAATTTGCTATTTTGAAGATAAGAAATATTAATCTTGATGAGTTTTTAAGAATGATAATGATAAAATGCCAGTATCACTGTGACTAATGTTATATCCTATTGTTCTTACGGGTTATCTTTTCCTATTTATTTTAATACAGTTAACATAATGAAATGTTTTTTCTCCCCCACTAAGTATTTTTATTGAACCAAAAGTAATGCATTTGTGTACTTTTTGATCTAAAACAATGCTATTAAAGTATCATAGATTTTATTTTAGATTTTGTTGTAACATTCTTTTGTAGTCACCTGCGCTAATAGGAAATACTGAGATGATTTAAGAATGGCTAGTGTAATTAAAGATAACATTTTTTTATCTAATCAAGCTTTGCCCATATATAAAAGTGTAATTTCATTGTTGTGCACTGTGGTTTATGGGTACTGTTTCAGACTCAAAACATTTTATATTTGAACATGAAGATATACATATTCAAATCAATTGCTTTTTGTTTTTAAAAATAACTTATGCCCTAGGTACAATTTGTTTTAAACCCTTGCATAACATTTTTTAAAATTACGAACAAATACTTTTTTCATCATGTGCTTGCAAATGAGCTATGTTAGAAATGTTATCTTCAAGTCAATAATACTTTTAATAGATAATGCATTAAGTGTAAATTTAGTCCATCAGTTGTTTTTATTTTAACCACATTGCACTGCTTTGGAATTGATTTTTGCTTGATTTGGCTTATATTTTACCATTTTAAGAATGTTATGGATGATGCTACCACACCAGCTCTTAATCATTGCTAGTTTAATTATGGTATGCACCACATTCCAAGGTTGCTAAGGTGTGTTGTGCATGTTATTTTTTTACTTGGAATTTTATTCTTACAACTATATATCTTTTTAACTCTTGTTGTCAATGGTGTGGTAGTGGTTTTCTAATGTAATAAGAAACAGATTACTCTCTGGTAATGGCAGTAGAAATGGATCATATATAGAATTGTATTTCTTGTCTTGTATACACACTCCCTTAAATTTAAATCACCTTGCATGATTTTGTCTTAAACTTGTGTTAATTTGTCAATTTATGTCATGTATTTCCCCTCACTGACACTAAGATGGTTGCTGAATCGGTGTGTGTGTATGTGTGAAAGTTTTGATGAAGCTGTAAATGACATAAAGAATTGAATTATGTGTATATGGTGCAAAGGACTAATTTTATGAAAACATAGTGTTTTATTCACTTTGATTTTCCTCCCTTTCATTTGAATATTTTATATTTGATAATTTATTTTAAAAATAGATTTGATTAATAACTGATATTACAAATGGATTCCCATTTTAAGAAAAATGTTTTAAATTGTGAAACTAAAGTTGTTAGAGATTAACAATGACAAATATCAGCAAATGTTTCTATGTTTGTATTTTGTACATAAGGAAACAAGTCTTTCCCTCCAGTTTATAAAAGATGATAATGTATGCTGTTCATAACTTTCCCTCTAATCTTGTTTCCATAAATTTTTTAACATTGATTTAGTGATGGCAAATTGAAAACGATACAGTATTAATACATTATCATTATTTCAAATGCCTTTTTAACGTGTTGACAATGATGATGATCTGAATTTTTATGATGCTCGTTTTGTTAACTTATTTTATATGGGAACTCAACATGAAAAATAACAATGGAACATATCTTGTATTTTGTAATTCTGCTAATAAGGATGTCTATAATTGATGCAAATGCTTTAGAATTTTCTTGAATGATGAAACTTTAGATGCCAAAGTTTAATTTTTTAATCATTGACATGATGCTCCATAATGCCTAATTTTTAAGACAAAATCTTTTTTATTTAAATATGCCATACATGTTGCTGCCTCTATTTCATGTAAAGAAATAATGAAAAATAGGTTCATTTATAATTAGTACTTTTGCCCCTTATAAAATATTTGAATATACTGTCACAAATGTTGTTTTAATCATTGCTTTTTGTTGTACATTAATCTAGTTAAATCCCTTAATAAATTTTAAGTCAATAGTAGTATTTAATATTTATTTTGTTATATGCAGCAAACAAAAGAATTCTTGTTAAATTTCTATTTGTATGTATGTATTCTTTATGCCCTAAATTCTATTTCTCCTTTTTTGCCACTGTAAGAACATTTTGTTGTTATATTTTTTTAGTTATGTGTTAAATATAGATGTGGATTTTGCAGTTATGTGGGGGAAAATAGGTGGTATCAAATGTTAATGCTTAGGATGTTGTACATTAGAGGTAACAAAGTTGTTGACCTATATGACTGGTACTAGTCAAGTATTCTATCCACCCATTCCTCAAAATTAAAAACAGCACAGATAAGATATATTGCTCATTCTTTTCAACTATGCTTAAGTATTTAATTATAATAACTATTTTGCAAATGGAAATATACATCTCATTAAGTATGTCTTGTAAAATTATCATGGCTTCTTTGAAATTTATGTTTAAAAGATTTATAGGAAAATATTTCTTTTTTATTTGTATTATAATTATGCATCAGCATGTTCTTATGATATTGCACGATTCATTTGTGCCATTTTGAATTGGAGAAATGAAGACTGACCATTCCTTGTAGTTTCACACATAATGATGCTATCTGTAGTTTTTCTCTTATTTATTGAAATGCTTTTTAATTATGTTGTATGAAGTTACCCCTTTAAAATGTCTCGAGACTATATAAATTTGGATTTCATAAAACTGAATATTAAGGCAATTGTTGCTGCTATAATTAATATTGTTAATGTATGATTTTTTTTTTTAAACATGCAAGATGTTAACGAGCTGTGATCATGTTGTTAACTTGCGAATTTGTAGACTTTCCCCCAATTGCATAAGTTAGTTACTTGATACTATGTCCTAATTGCACAAGGCCTTATTCCCTGCATCCTTTATTGCTTAAAAAACATAATGTTCTTGCTCTTTGACACAATACATTTCTAATTGAGGACCTCATTGATGTAGCTATAGTCTATCAAAATATGGCATATACTTTTTATCAAATGTTAAAGGATTTCATGTCAGCAATCATCACTAAAAATATTGCTCAGGTTATCATGGTACAACTCTTCCTATTATATTACTTGAGTTGATAGCTTTTAATAATTGTTTTTGAATACTCGCTTATGTACCTAGTTAAAATTACAATAAACTTAAACTCATTGCCTTAAACATGAATGAGGATATGTAATCAGTTATTTTGATAAATTGTTCACACTGTGCTTCCCTGGGTTTTTGAAATGCTGCACATATTGTTTTATGTTTAATTTAAATTCTATAGCTAATACTATAATAGGTCAGATATTTAAACAAATTACGGTATTGGTCAGATAGAGTAGTTAAAACTTATCATTGAAGTGCTATTTAATTTTATATTTGCAAGGTGAAATTATGAGATGTGTACACCAGTAAACATGTTTATTTTCTCATTTTTTTAGGGTGTAATTTTTCCAAGGAGCATCGTATTAAAAGATCAGTCTTTGTACTCCCTTTTTTAAAAAATTACTTTTTTTTTTAATCTGAAGAATGAATGGTGAGGCATGCTAGTGCATATGTCAATCCTTAAACATCAAGACTTAATTACTTTAGTCATATAACTTATAGACTTCATGTTTGATTCCCTTTTTATTTAAACTAAGAGTATCCTTAAATCCAGTGGAAAAGTGTTGGTTTGTATCTTATGAAGAATGTATGTGTTTAAATGTTTGAGTGTTTTGGCAACCATAAGTCTAGGAGCTGTGACAGCCCGAATTGTGGGAAATGAGAATGTATTTGTTTTTAGACTCCCTACATGTGTGATTAAGCATCCACTCTTTTATCAGGAGTTTTCTTATTGTTGTGTATATAGCTGCATTTACCACTAGCTTAATTCACAATTGTCCTGTGCTGTATACCCTTATGGTTTATCATCTTCAAATATCATAATCACTACAATTCTAATCATGAATAATTCAAATTTTAAATAGTTTTCATAGCTGTATAGTTAATCTTAAAAGCTTGTTGCCTCTTGACATACATCTCTGTGCATAAATTCAATAAAAATATGGGATAATCAACAAAGAATCATTATGTCCATTGTTACGTAAATCCTGTTTGTATGCTTTTGATATGATATAGAATTTTACAGCAATTGTAAATTAGTTTTAGTTTTTCTTTAAAATAATAATTCTTCTCCCTTTTGCTTCAATCATATTGGTATGTATTATTTTCTTGTGTTCAATAGAAAACTTTTTTTCAACATTTAACTTTTTGTATTCTTAACTTGCCTTGGTAATCACGTGTGTATTGGTTATTATTAATTCGGTCCATTTTCAGATTGGATTATTATTAATAAGCATTGTTATTGATTCTTTGGTTTTTAAATGTATATTACAAAGTAAATTTATATGTAAAACAAGTGTTAGTGTTGTCTTCTCTATTTTAGTATTACAATTGCCTGCCTTTGTTAAACCTTGATTATCTGAAGGCCAGAACTGACTGGCTGTTTGAGCACCTGATTGCTTCTGTTTTGAGATCTTGTAAAGCAAAAAGCTATATTCCAAAGGTTGTTACTTTGATATTTCAGGATAGCGTGGTCAGTAATGTCCCCTTGAGACCTATAGGCCTACTTGGCAAATTAAGGGTTCTGGGCTGTAGGTTAAAATTTAAGTGTTATACAGCAGCGCAAAGCCAATGTATCACCCAGAATAAAAGAGCAAGCACACACACACCCAATGTATCTAGACCCAGAATAAAAGAGCAAGCACACACACACACCTTGCGAAGCAAAGACTGTTACATCAAAGCCTGAAAGCTTGGTTTATTTGTGATATTTGATAGGAATAGGATGGTTTTTAGGTGTTTTTTTTAGGTTATTAAAACCAAATTTCATACTTTCTTCAGCAATGCATTTTTTTCCTTCTCAGTTTGGTGACCCATCAAATGAACAGTGGTTAGGAACAATAGAATGTAATGAAACACCAGCAGATCTGTTTAGTATTCCAATCCTAGAACACAACACCTAACAAATAACCGGGAGGTATCTCCCCTAAACTTTCTTGAATATATATAGACATGACTTAACCCATTTTTAATTACTTTAACTTTTTAAAATAGAATTGAATCTTGTAGAAAAAAGAATTGCACACCAAGTGAATGCCAAATAATATGTGCATAATAATAGTGCTGAATTTTATTAGTACTTTATAAATTCACATGCATTTTTTTTTGAGAAATCGGAAAGAGCGTAAACTACTTCTTTCCTGCATGATAAAAAAAATGAACAAATACAGAAAACTTAATTTCTTTATTTACATAGATGTCTGTCTACATTTAAGATTTTTTAAAGAAGAAAGTATAGATGCAAAGATAAGTATAATTGTTCTTTTTACTGTAAAAAAATCCCACTGCAAAAAAAAGCGCAAACAGTTTTATGTATAATCAGATCTTAATAAACATACTGTGAGTACCACATCCTTACTTAAGGTTAAAGCTATGAAATTTTTATTAATAATGATAAGAATAATGTACAGGTGAAATATTTAATCTTAGGTTCAAGTCAGTACAACATGCCCGAGTCCATCTTGTTCTGATGGGTACCTAACTCACCTTAAGAAAAAAATAAAGGTGGTTGGGCATAGTGCTGACCACATTATCCCTTCTTGTTCTGAGGTAAACAGATAAACTTTAACCTCTACTTCATCTGCCCCATGTGTCTTGGGCACGAATGAGAAAAGATGATGATTAACAGCAGCATACATAGTTAACAAAATAGATGCAGTAATTAACAATTGATGCAGTAACGTAATTAATAGTGAAAATAGAAGGCTGTGCTAAATCTTGATTACACCATAAAACAACTGACACCAATTAAAAAATAAATCGTGTTAATGCACTGCATCGCTTAAAAGCTACTATGTCAGTTGTGTTTGTTATTATTGTTAACTATTAACATCCCTTCTTAAATTATAAATATACATCTAAATCAATAGATACTGATTAATTTATTTTGTCCTCATTTTATCGAAATAGGAATCTTCAAAATGTAATCACAATAATTAATAATTCATCAACAAAGCCTCAAAAAAAAAGGATGATAACTCATGATTGATAACTTTGTTCGTGATTTAAAGAATCATGGTGGATAACCGTTTGGTACCTTTCACTAGAAGGGGGACAATCAGATTTCAAAGTATCACACCATGAACTTTCATCTGGTTCTCTTGTGCTAGAAAGATTTGTTCGGAAATTGTTATGATTGTTGTCTTTGTTGCTGGCTTGATTTTGCATCAAATGTTGTGCATTGCAGGCTATGTCCGGAATACCGTTAGTTAGTTCTGTTTGGTTTTTTATTCGGGCTGCAGCCGTTACATGGGACTGGTACCCACTCTCTGCAGTTAAAGCACTCTGTCCGCTGCATGGGTCATGGGAGCACTCTTGGGCAAGTCCATTATCACTGGAGGTGGATGAGCCTTCAAACCCACTTTCTGAAAATGAAGCTCTGCTACCTGGGCAAGCAGACCTCTGAGAAGAATTCAAACTCAATGCTTTTAAGGCAGTTAACTGGGCGTGTTTTAGTGGAACAGGATTGGTGTGGAAAAGCTGAGTTTCAGCACCGAGGTTATTTTGACTTGGGCCACACGCTTGCTGCACAGGAACAAAAGGCTGAGGATGAATGTCTTCATGCACGAGCAAGCTTGTATCAGAAAAACAATGAGACATTGCAGAAATGTGAAGTTCTGCGTTACCAGTTTCTTTTTCTAGATTGTTGTTCATTTGGTCAGCCTGCGCCATTTCTCTGACTATGTACTCGGAAACATTGAATTTTTCGTAAGATTTTAATTTAGGTTTTTCAGAACTGTGGGAATTGACTTCTTGTGAGGCTTTGAGAAGCTTTGTTTTATGAAAATCTTCCGATTCTCCAGGAGATTTTAAATTATGTTTTGCTGCGTTGGTTGGTGATTGACATTTTTCATAGAAGAAAGTTTCAGGGAAGCAGGTGTTTTCATCACAGGTAACTGGTTCTAGACCATTCTCACTTTGCTCAACTGGTTCCCTGCAGCCCCTTGTTACGCTGTGGGTGCATTTTGAGGTGGTGTAAAATTTCTTGCTGGTGCTGCGTGATTCGTCGCAGCGCAGGTTGTACTCAGGTGAGGTGCAGCGGATGTTCATAGCACAACAGTGCCTGTGTGTGTTAGACCTGCTTGAGTCCCAGTCACTGGGGCTTGATTGGTTTTCTTGCTGTATGCGCAGTAAAATAACCTTCTGGTCTTCAATAATTTTTGGAGATGAAATTTGCGAGAGGTTGTTGCTAGACTTACTTGACGTTAATTCTGGGATTGTGTGTATTTCTGAAGTGGCGCCAGCCATATGCAAACCATCTGAGCATGGCGTGCCGGGTCGGAGTTTCAACATGGTAGATGCTGATGCCTTAAGTGTATCATCAATACAGCTTCTGGATTCAAAGTTAAATGCAGCATTATGAATCACTTCATTTTCACCAGCTTGCCGTTCAGTTATAGAATCCATGCCATGAAATTCCTGAAATAATTTTTTCCTGTCCTCTCTTTTGTTGATGCAATGCTGCACCTCTCTGGTCCAAAAGTTTTCAGAATACACTTCGGGTGCATACTGACACACCAAGCACGACTTGACAACAAGGGAGACAAACATTTTCAGATCTAGCTCTTCTTCACGTGTGCGCAGAATATAATAATACAAATCCCTGTGTTTTCTGACAGTGTTACAGTTAAAATCCTTAGATCCACTGCTAAAAACAGTCTCAGTTATCCACGGATTCTCTTCAACATACTTGAGGTATGCATCCCTATGAAATTTTATTTTTTCCATGTCGTTCCAATAAAGAAGTAAAGCATGTTCGTGTGTAGCGAGAAGATTGCTGTGCCCGTCGTCACTTAATGTTCCTTTCATCCTGGAATTGAAGTCTAAAATATGCTCCAGATGGTCAATGCTAGACTTATTCAAATCTACAAGCTCAAGATTTCCTGTCAGAACAAAAGGACTTTCAGGGACTATTTCCTTTGGCACAGTCTGCGAATCATGGCTCTCTACGCTATTTCTAAACAAAGATGGCAACAGTGATTCTAATTCTTCTTCTGCGGCTTGGGGCATGCTAAACAGTTCATTAAAATTTGGCATGTTCTGGCTTGACGCGTGAGGACTTTTGTGAACAGCTTCGCTTGAAGCTTCAAAAGAAGACCCCTGGAACATGTGTTCGCTTCCCTGAGGCAGAGGGGTGCCTGAGAGGTCGGGGACATCTTCACCGAAGCCAGTGAACCTCAGCTCGTCTCTTGCTGGCTCCATTTTCTGCCGTAAGACAGCCCGCACGTGAGCCAGCATTAACATCACTTTAAGCCTCAGGTCGTGGTCCTGGGCAGTTTTTTCTAAAATACGTTCGGCTTCTAATACATTCTCAAAAGCTGCACAGATATTGTTGCTGAAACAAAAGAAAAACAAAATTTTTGTATGGAGTGCAACTGACTAGTTCAAGTGTTAAAGTACTTTGAGACAGCTTTTTGAAAATAGTTAGCTATAATATCGCCGGAAAAAAATGTGAAAAAATAACCACTTGTTAAAAATTTAATTCAGATTAAAAATGTGTAAAAAGTATTAAAATTTGAGGGATGTCAATTGTTAAAAAAATGTTATAATGTAAAGCCTCATATGAAGGATGTCTGCTGACATGAAAGTATTATGATGAACATTTTACCATGGTATTTTCTTTATGAATGCATGTTAGCAAACTATATTTAATTCAATCAAAAACAAATAGCTTACAATGAATGTCTCACTTATTTCTGACTTTAAAATAGCCTTACTCGTAGATCATTTATTAAGATATTAAATACTAATTTAAAAAAATAATTTTTAAATAGATTTTTTTTAAAGTCTCTCATCAAAAGCCAAAATTAATAATAAAATTAATTATATTTCTAAAAAATGTTTTTTACCACTGCAAGTTGACCTCACTCAAGTGGCACAGAGTTAAGGCAGTGTAGTAGTGTGTCCAGCCACACTCTCTGCGGATGTCCAGGGCTTGGTTCAGGTACTTCAAACATTCTTCTGTGAAATTTTAAAACCATTTAACATTCAACGTTTGCAGAAATTAAAAGTAAACAACCTCGTGTAAATTCTAGATATTGTCCAAACAAGTTGACAGTGAGACAGGGTGGGATGATAGAACTCATGACTGCCAGCTCAAAAGACTTGAGTTCGATTCCAGGCTTGAGTCTGTAGGATGTCCCTGTTTCAACCCAGCTCTGATGGGTACCTAACTTATGTTAAGGAAACTAAAGCAGCTGGGTATAATGCTGACCGAACTAACCCCCTCTATGACAAGGTTATTGAAACAGATGAACTCTACTTCAACTGCCTAATGTTTGAGCCAGACTAGGAAAAGATAAAGATGAAACTAATCGGAACAAAAACTAAATAAGCAATTTATGCATTACAAATGGAATGAAGCTATAATCACAAAGTTTATTATTTTTATAATGACAATTTAATGACAATGCATAATAATTTGTAACTGCAAGTTATAATTATTAAATTCCAGCTAAAATATGAAATGAAATTATAATATGCAAGTTTCTGCCAGTAAGCAAATAAAATATTCAATCTTTAGTAGCAGCAGCAAGTGAAAGGAAAATAATTATTTTGAAAACTTGATTATTAAAAAGTGAGGAATCAAATACTTTTTTAAAAAAAGATTAATTCTTTCAATTTCTTAATACTGACAACACTTCTAGGATTATCATATTCGATTATTTATATGTTTAATAACACTAAACCAACTGAGAGAAATCAGAAAAAATTCTGTACCTAATTTCCCTTGTTTGTGTAAAATCATGGCAATGTTATTTAGAGGGACAAGCAGATTCTCAGGGCAGATCCTGGCCAAATACATTCTCTCATTGTATGACAACTTGTACCATTTGATGGCACTGTTTAAGTCATTATTTCCTGGGGAGAAGACAAAAACAATCATTCAAAGGACAAAAATATAAATGGCTAAATATAAATCTTTAGTGAATAGCATTGTTTAAAGAAATTTAGTCAAAGGGAAACTACTCAATTCAAATCTGAAGATACTAAAACTGTTGCCTTTTTAACGTTTACCTCTTTGCTCTGTTAGGCCTATTAGGTTGAGTAAGGTGGACAATTCAGGGTGGTTCTCACATCGATAGTTGATGAACTCCAAAAGTTTGTTTAGTTTTGCTCTTGCTATTTTATTTTTGCCTAAATTCGGGGGTAAAAAACAATGTTTTTTGTATCTTTATATCATTTTAAAAAATCTAAATAAAGAAATTAAAAACAATGATAAACCTAGGATTTATGTACTTATTTTTGTTTACTTCTTCTAACACAGAATATCATATTTCCACTCCCTTCTCCTGACTTTTAATCTATACATTTAGAAATTCACTGGAAACTGGGGAGGTAACCTGCATGCCTGCAGTAGTGTAACTAGTAACTCCCTTTAACACCCTGCCATGTCCCTGACACCAGGGTGTTTGCAGATGAGTGTTCTGCCGCACTATTATGGAGGGTGAGGCTTTCATACAGCACACCCTGGGGTGTCTGTAGTGTGGACTATGGAGGGTGAGGCTTTCATACAGCACACCCTGGGGTGTAGTGTGGACTATGGAGGGTGAGGCTTTCATAAAGCACACCCTGGGGTGTCTGGGCTGTAGTGTGGACTATGGAGGGTAAGGCTTTCATACAGCACACCCTGGGGTGTAGTGTGGACTATGGAGGGTGAGGCTTTCATACAGCACACCCTGGGGTGTAGTGTGGACTATGGAGGGTGAGGCTTTCATACAGCACACCCTGGGGTGTCTGTAGTGTGGACTATGGAGGGTGAGGCTTTCATACAGCACACCCTGGGGTGTCTGTAGTGTGGACTATGGAGGGTGAGGCTTTCATACAGCACACCCTGGGGTGTAGTGTGGACTATGGAGGGTGAGGCTTTCATACAGCACACCCTGGGGTGTCTGTAGTGTGGACTATGGAGGGTGAGGCTTTCATACAGCACACCCTGGGGTGTCTGTAGTGTGGACTATTGAGGGTGAGGCTTTCATACAGCACACCCTGGGGTGTCTGTAGTGTGGACTATGGAGGGTGAGGCTTTCATACAGCACACCCTGGGGTGTAGTGTGGACTATGGAGGGTGAGGCTTTCATAAAGCACACCCTGGGGTGTCTGGGCTGTAGTGTGGACTATGGAGGGTGAGGCTTTCATACAGCACACCCTGGGGTGTCTGTAGTGTGGACTATGGAGGGTGAGGCTTTCATACAGCACACCCTGGGGTGTAGTGTGGACTATGGAGGGTGAGGCTTTCATACAGCACACCCTGGGCTGTAGTGTGGACTATGGAGGGTGAGGCTTTCATACAGCACACCCTGGGGTGTAGTGTGGACTATGGAGGGTGAGGCTTTCATACAGCACACCCTGGGGTGTCTGTAGTGTGGACTATGGAGGGTGAGGCTTTCATAAAGCACACCCTGGGGTGTCTGGGCTGTAGTGTGGACTATGGAGGGTGAGGCTTTCATACAGCACACCCTGGGGTGTACTGTGGACTATTGAGGGTGAGGCCTTCATACAGCACACCCTGGGGTGTCTGTAGTGTGGACTATGGAGGGTGAGGCTTTCATACAGCACACCCTGGGGTGTAGTGTGGACTATGGAAGGTGAGGCTTTCATACAGCACACCCTGGGGTGTCTGTAGTGTGGACTATGGAGGGTGAGGCTTTCATACAGCACACCCTGGGGTGTCTGTAGTGTGGACTATGGAGGGTGAGGCTTTCATAAAGCACACCCTGGGGTGTCTGGGCTGTAGTGTGGACTATGGAGGGTGAGGCTTTCATACAGCACACCCTGGGGTGTAGTGTGGACTATGGATGGTAAGGCTTTCATACAGCACACCCTGGGGTGTCTGTAGTGTGGACTATGGAGGGTGAGGCTTTCATACAGTACACCCTGGGGTGTCTGGGCTGTAGTGTGGACTATGGAGGGTGAGGCTTTCATACAGCACACCCTGGGGTGTAGTGTGGACTATGGAGGGTGAGGCTTTCATACAGCACACCCTGGGGTGTAGTGTGGACTATGGAGGGTGAGGCTTTCATACAGCACACCCTGGGGTGTAGTGTGGACTATGGAGGGTGAGGCTTTCATACAGCACACACTGGGGTCTCTGGACTATAGTGTGGACTATGGAGGGTGAGGCTTTCATACTACACACCCTGGGGTGTCTGTAGTGTGGACTATGGAGGGTGAGGCTTTCATACAGCACACCCTGGGGTGTAGTGTGGACTATGGAGGGTGAGGCTTTCATACAGCACACCCTGGGGTGTCTGTAGTGTGGACTATGGAGGGTGAGGCTTTCATACAGCACACCCTGGGGTGTAGTGTGGACTATGGAGGGTGAGGCTTTCATACAGCACACCCTGGGGTGTCTGTAGTGTGGACTATGGAGGGTGAGGCTTTCATACAGCACACCCTGGGGTGTAGTGTGGACTATGGAGGGTGAGGCTTTCATACAGCACACCCTGGGGTGTAGTGTGGACTATGGAGGGTGGGGCTTTCATACAGCACACCCTGGGGTGTAGTGTGGACTATGGAGGGTGAGGCTTTCATACAGCACACCCTGGGGTGTCTGTAGTGTGGACTATGGAGGGTGAGGCTTTCATACAGCACACCCTGGGGTGTAGTGTGGACTATGGAGGGTGAGGCTTTCATACAGCACACCCTGGGGTGTAGTGTGGACTATGGAGGGTGGGGCTTTCATACAGCACACCCTGGGGTATAGTGTGGACTATGGAGGGTGAGGCTTTCATACAGCACACCCTGGGGTGTAGTGTGGACTATGGAGGGTGAGGCTTTCATACAGCACACCCTGGGGTGTCTGTAGTGTGGACTATGGAGGGTGAGGCTTTCATACAGCACACCCTGGGGTGTCTGGGCTGTAGTGTGGACTATGGAGGGTGAGGCTTTCATACAGCACACCCTGGGGTGTAGTGTGGACTATGGAGGGTGAGGCTTTCATACAGCACACCCTGGGGTGTAGTGTGGACTATGGAGGGTGAGGCTTTCATACAGCACACTCTGGGGTGTCTGGGCTGTAGTGTGGACTATGGAGGGTGAGGCTTTCATACAGCACACCCTGGGGTGTAGTGTGGACTATGGAGGGTGAGGCTTTCATACAGCACACCCTGGGGTGTCTGTAGTGTGGACTAGGGAGGGTGAGGCTTTCATACAGCACACCCTGGGGTGTAGTGTGGACTATGGAGGGTGAGGCTTTCATACAGCACACCCTGGGGTGTCTGTAGTGTGGACTAGGGAGGGTGAGGCTTTCATACAGCACACCCTGGGGTGTCTGTAGTGTGGACTATGGAGGGTAAGGCTTTCATACAGCACACCCTGGGGTGTAGTGTGGACTATGAAGGGTGAGGCTTTTATACAGCACACCCTGGGGTGTAGTGTGGACTATGGAGGGTGAGGCTTTCATACAGCACACCCTGGGGTGTAGTGTGGACTATGGAGGGTGAGGCTTTCATACAGCACACCCTGGGGTGTCTGGGGTGTAGTGTGGACTATGGAGGGTGAGGCTTTCATACAGCACACACTGGGGTCTCTGGACTATAGTGTGGACTATGGAGGGTGAGGCTTTCATACAGCACACCCTGGGGTGTCTGTAGTGTGGACTATGGAGGGTGAGGCTTTCATACAGCACACCCTGGGGTGTAGTGTGGACTATGGAGGGTGAGGCTTTCATACAGTACACCCTGGGGTGTCTGGGCTGTAGTGTGGACTATGGAGGGTGAGGCTTTCATACAGCACACCCTGGGGTGTCTGTGGTGTGGACTATGGAGGGTGAGGCTTTCATACAGCACACCCTGGGGTGTCTGTAGTGTGGACTATGGAGGGTGAGGCTTTCATACAGCACACCCTGGGGTGTAGTGTGGACTATGGAGGGTGAGGCTTTCATACAGCACACCCTGGGGTGTCTGTAGTGTGGACTATGGAGGGTGAGGCTTTCATACAGCACACCCTGGGGTGTAGTGTGGACTATGGAGGGTGGGGCTTTCATACAGCACACCCTGGGGTATAGTGTGGACTATGGAGGGTGAGGCTTTCATACAGCACACCCTGGGGTGTAGTGTGGACTATGGAGGGTGAGGCTTTCATAAAGCACACCCTTGGGTGTCTGGGCTGTAGTGTGGACTATGAAGGGTGAGGCTTTCATACAGCACACCCTGGGGTGTCTAGGCTGTAGTGTGGACTATGGAGGGTGAGGCTTTCATACAGCACACCCTGGGGTGTCTGTAGTGTGGACTTTGGAAGGTGAGGCTTTCATACAGCACACCCTGGGGTGTAGTGTGGACTATGGAGGGTGAGGCTTTCATACAGCACACCCTGGGGTGTAGTGTGGACTATGGAGGGTGAGGCTTTCATACAGCACACCCTGGGGTGTCTGTAGTGTGGACTATGGAGGGTGAGGCTTTCATACAGCACACCCTGGGGTGTAGTGTGGACTATGGAGGGTGAGGCTTTCATACAGCACACCCTGGGGTGTAGTGTGGACTATGGAGGGTGAGGCTTTCATACAGCACACCCTGGGGTGTCTGTAGTGTGGACTATGGAGGGTGAGGCTTTCATACAGCACACCCTGGGGTGTAGTGTGGACTATGGAGGGTGAGGCTTTCATACAGCACACCCTGGGGTGTCTGTAGTGTGGACTATGGGGGTGAGGCTTTCATACAGCACACCCTGGGGTGTAGTGTGGACTATGGAGGGTGAGGCTTTCATACAGCACACCCTGGGGTGTAGTGTGGACTATGGAGGGTGAGGCTTTCATACAGCACACCCTGGGGTGTCTGTAGTGTGGACTATGGAGGGTGAGGCTTTCATACAGCACACCCTGGGGTGTCTGTAGTGTGGACTATGGAGGGTGAGGCTTTCATACAGCACACCCTGGGGTGTCTGTAGTGTGGACTATGGAGGGTGAGACTTTCATACAGCACACCCTGGGGTGTCTGGGCTGTAGTGTGGACTATGGAGGGTGAGGCTTTCATACAGCACACCCTGGGGTGTAGTGTGGACTATGGAGGGTGAGGCTTTCATACAGCACACCCTGGGGTGTAGTGTGGACTATGGAGGGTGAGGCTTTCATACAGCACACCCTGGGGTGTCTGTAGTGTGGACTATGGAGGGTGAGGCTTTCATACAGCACACCCTGGGGTGTCTGGGTTGTAGTGTGGACTATGAAGGGTGAGGCTTTCATACAGCACACCCTGGGGTGTAGTGTGGACTATGGAGGGTGAGGCTTTCATACAGCACACCCTGGGGTGTCTGTAGTGTGGACTATGGAGGGTGAGGCTTTCATACAGCACACCCTGGGGTGTAGTGTGGACTATGGAGGGTGAGGCTTTCATACAGCACACCCTGGGGTGTAGTGTGGACTATGAAGGGTGAGGCTTTCATACAGCACACCCTGGGGTGTAGTGTGGACTATGGAGGGTGAAGCTTTCATACAGCACACCCTGGGGTGTAGTGTGGACTATGGAGGGTGAGGCTTTCATACAGCACACCCTGGGGTGTAGTGTGGACTATGAAGGGTGAGGCTTTCATACGGCACACCCTGGGGTGTCTGGGCTATAGTGTGGACCATCCTGCTCCCCAACAACTATGATCCAAGAAATATTGCACCTGCTTTGTTTACATTTAAATAACTCAGTTTTAAAAAAATGAGGTCACATGTCTAAAAATATACAATTGGTAATGCATTGATGAAATACTCTTAAAATATTGCATCAGCCTTTCTTCTGAGACTTCAGCAATGCTGAAGTAATGATTGGTCAGTACTAAACATGTTATCTTTATATAGAAACAAACAGGAAGAAACGTTTTTCTCACCAATAAAAATGTTTGGGATAGTTTCGTGGATTTCTTGTGTTATTATTTCCTCCTCTACTTGCAGATCTGACACAGCGTATGTTTCACCTAAAGCTCTTTTATTTAACTTCTTAGCTATTTCTCTGCCATAGCGGAAGTCTCTAAGGAAAAGTGAAGTAAAAAGTTAAACAATTTTCGTTTATTGATAGACAGAAATTTTTTTAAAATGTATAATAGATTAATGTAAATAATTGTAAATTAAAAGTTGTATGTGCTACAGACCAGTGATTTTTTTTTTAAATTAATAATTAATTAGCAGTTAAGTAAAATTTGATTTGCTATTACAGAATATGTAGCCATTGCCAAATATTTAAAATTCATTGTACACATTATTCTTCAATTTTCAACAGATGTCTGTTTCTTCTTAGTTCTGAATTGTAATATCACAATTAAGAATTAAATGTCAACATGTTATGCACTGTATGCCCCATTGATATAGACTTCAGTCTGTTTTTTTTTTGGGTTTGTTCCCATAGCCTTTGTCCATCCCAAAACAATCTGCAAGGCATCAGTTGTTTGATTTTGGAGTTTTCTCTCCTATATGGATTACTGTCCCCAGTTAGAGAGCCTCAGCTGCCCGGAGCCCAACTAGGGACTTACAAAATCAGCAATCATAAGCTCTTCTTACAGACAAAGCCACCCACTACCAAAGTTTCAAAAAGCAGTTTCTTACACAATTAATTAATAAGGTTGAGAGAAACAAAACAAAAATTTTACTCGAGAGATTCCTGGTATCTTCCTTGTCTATGCAACAAAATGGCTCGTCTGTCTACAGCATACAGCAACTGGTAGGATGGGCCTTCTGGTGTCAGTTTCTCTATGGCAGACGTCAGGTGACGGTTGGCCTGGTACCATTCATAACCTGTACAACACATTGTCAGGATTAGTTCACTCTCCTGCATAAGAGATATGTAAATACTAAATCTTTCTGAATTTTTTTTTGCATAATATTCATAATAATGGATACAATTTTAAGATGGGAGAGTAGGCAAGATCTAAAAATGTACTTGGCTGCAGTTTTAAACTTCTGTTTGAGTGCAAAATGATGCAGTTAGAAGATTTTGATTCCTATTTTTAATTATTGTTTGTATCTCATTTATTTTTTAATTATTAATAATACAGTTTCAGAGCACTTAAAAATAATAAATAAAATGAAAATAACTTTGAGACTAAAGCTAAAAAACTGATAACATAAATATAAATAGCCGAAATCTAAACAGCAATAATTTAAACACAGAAAAATAAAATTTTGAAATTAGTAAAGAAAAAACTGAAAGTAGGAGATGTATTAATAATTTGTAAAAGCAAAGTTTAAGAATAAGTTCATTGGCAGGGGAAAGCGAAAAAGTTAAAGAATGTACAGCGATCTCATAAATGAGAGACTGGAAGTAAACACAACACACTTACCATAAATCATATATATAATATACACTATGCACATGTTAATACTTTATATATATATATATATAAATATATATACTATTATATACTAATATATAAATAAATACACACACACATCTATATTAAAAACAGTATGATTGAATTTCTTTGGCATTATGCTATTTAAGATTGATTATTTTGAATCTTCACTTTCAATGAGTTTCTACTGACCAAACTAGACTTTTAAACTTCAATTTCAAGAGAGTTATAACTTACTGCAATCTGATTCTTCTGTCCCATGAGGTACAGCTGTGGAAGGGAGTAAGACATGGATGGAGGGAGGCTGACTGCTAAAGACTGGCATACACAAGTTTTACACAATTTAATGGTTAACTGTAAATGGTAGGAACTGTGTGTTGTGGTTCAGCCGTTATCAAATTTCTTTAGCTTTAAGTAAATAGTAATAAACTTAAAAAAAAAAACAACTGAACCAACTCTGTTTTGTTAGTAGTAGTTCTTCAATTCACTAGCTTAAAATAAAGTATTACTTAGCTCTGATCTTAAGGACCCACAATCCTCCTTCCAATTTTATTATTTTATCTATATACCCTATTAGTAGAAGTCTAAATGAGTAGTGCAGGTTATGTCAAGTGTGGCACTTATTAGTATCTACATTAGTAGGCATATACTTTATTCTACATATAGGTAGTCAAACCCTGGCCAATAGCTGTCAAAACTGATGATTCTGTGGGCACTAGTTGATTCTCTGAAACACTGATTTATTTTATTATGACTTCCCTAGTTAAATGATTAGCTAATAAAGTAATAAGACTATTAAGCGTTTTTTTAACCTTAAGAATCGTCTTCCTGTTAATTTAAAAAAAAAAAAAGACGGCTCTTCTAAAACACTAATTTATTTTATTATAACTACTTTAGTAAGATGATTTGTGAATAAAACTATCAAGCATTGTTTCAAACTTAAGTATTGTCTTCTAATTGATTAAAATTTTAAAAAAAGTTCTGAAACATTGATTTGTTTTATTATGTCTACTTAATTAGATGAATGTTAAAAAAAAACTATTAAGCATTTTTTTTTTAACATTTAGTTCTTTCTTTCTTCTGGTTAATTTAAAAAAAAAAAACCAGCCCTAGGATTAATAATGTGCTGTTTTTCAATTAAAAATTTATTTTTTAGGATTGAATGTGAGGCAATGAAGCAAATAGAGTAAACTGAGGCATTCCCTAGACAAAAATATACTGTGTGATTTGTATTCAAACTTTGCAGAAACAGTGAGTATTGATTAAAATAAATAAATTATCTAGCACTAAAAAGATGTTTTTAAAAAAAATTACTTAGGAGAAGTAGGGGTAGAATGGGGGTCAGTTTAGCCCTCTTTCCCAGGATATTACATTATTTCATTTTAAGATTTATTGAATAATCAAACTGGTGGTACAGTACATACATCAGTTTGCCAATCTGTCCCAGAAAATTCTGTGATTTTTTTTTAAAAGCTACATTGATTAGCCAAATCTGGGCACAGTAGAATCTATTAAGTTAAAAAAAAAACTATCTTCCTGTATATTTATTCATAAAACTGGGGAGGTATATGGACAAGCTGAGTATACATAATGCATTCAGTCGTAAAAATACAACAGATGGTGGTTGTTTTCTTATGGATGCAATAATTGATTAAACACAAGTATTAGAAAGGAAATTATTACAGAAACACTATACATCAAAGCTGAAGAATACACAGCAACATTGTTTTGTTATTTAAAGAGAATATATAAGCAGTGAGATCATATCTTAAACACATACTTAATTCAATATTTACATTAGTAGATAAATTTAATGCTTATTGCAGTTTGTGATTCAATCAAATTTGTATACATTGCTTAGTTATAATTATAATGTCTATTTATTAAAATACATTTTTAATCTACTTTACAGTTTTCTTAAAAATTTAACACTAAATTGCTGTTTTACTTAGGGTGGCTTCCACAAAATTTTTTGAACTGTATGCAAGTTTTAAAAATATTTTCTATTAATTTTTCTAAAAATTGAATCTTTTATGTCAAATAAGAGATCTAAATATAATTTAATAATAATAAAGCAAATTTTTAATTAGTTTCAATTAATCCATCAATCCTGAATGGGAAATTGCAGAACAAAGTTAATTTTTCTTTTAAAAAAAAATGATTCTTTTTTGGACAAACAAAAAAGAGGTCTAAATTTAAAACATATTTTAAATATTTTTTTCAATTAGTCAACGAACTAATATATATATATATATATATATATATATATATATATATATATTTATATGTATGTACTGACCAAATACAGTGTGTGTGTGTAATTATGTGCATTAGTGCAGAATATTAAAAGAGAAGCATCCTAAAAACATAAACTGTTAATGAAGTGTTAATTGTTAGTTGTTTTTTTTTCTACATGTAAGTTAAATTAGTTTTGATTATTTATAACTGAAATACTTTTAATCCCAGCTGATAGTTGTCTTTACCCCTTAATGAAAGACCAATTCACCAAGAGCCTGAAGTGTTTGTTATAATTATATTGTTAAAAAACTATTCAGCAGAAAATATGTTAATAGTAGAAATTTAAAATAAAAATGATGATTTAGGCTTTATACAAATGTCAAGGACATAACCTTTCATCCCCTCCCTAAATTCTGTATTCCTCCATTTCTTTAACCTTTATATTTCAGTTATTATGTTTACTTTCTTTATATTTACTTTCACTATCTTTACTTTCTGTTTAAGTGATTTGGAAGTGAAGGGGTAGCTTCTGTATAAGCAGGTACATCATGCCAAAGATATTGAACCATACTTTCCTTTTGATGTACCTGATGCTGAACTGATAGCATTGCCTAAAAATGCTTCCAGTACAGCACAGTCCCTTGGTGTGCCAAACTCCAACGCACTGTTGTAGAGTCCAAGGTAGAAATCTTTAGCCTCTTTCATGAAACACTTCATGATGATACCATTGGCTGTTACTGCCACCTACAATAGATAAATGGAAACATATGAACTTAGGAAACACTTTATGATACCATTGGCTGTTACTGCCACCTACAATAGATAAATAGAAACATACAAATTTAGGAAACACTTTATGATACCATAGCAGTGATGACCACCTATGGTAGATAAATGGAAACATACAAACATATAAAACACTTCATGATGATACCATTGGCTGTCACTGCCACCTAAAGTAGATAAATGGAAACATACAAACATATGAAACACTTCATGATGATACCATTGGTGCTTAAGGAATTATTACAACATTTAGATGTACATTTTTAATACTTAGATTAAATTTCTATCGTTAATATGAATTTATTTTTTAAAGGCAGAACTATTAATATACATTAATGGATATTAATTTAAACATTTTAGTATTTTTTAAAAATGCTATTATAATCTTAATTATCACATTAAATGTATTAAAAGAAAGTAAAGGCTGCAAATGTATGTTTCCTTTTTTTTTACATTTAATTTTTAAAAAAGAGAAGAGTTTTTTTCAAAGTTTAGATTTAACAAAGTGACAAAATAGTACATTATTATCCTTGCCAGATAAAAAAAAAAATTAAAGTGGACATCCAGACAAATTTATTATTGCCTACTTTTAAAAATGACTCATAAGTATTTCTGTTGCAGTGTAGCGCTTGCTCAATCAGGTATCTGACATTAGGCCATTCCTGAATCAGGCCCCCGTACACTAGGCCTTTTCTGCCTTGAATTCGCATATTGGACTCAGTACTCATAAGGACTCGGCACAAAAAGTTGGTGTATCTGAAATATGAAACAAATTTCAGGATAATTCTTGAAAGATTGTAAAATAATTGCTTAAAAAATATTTGGAAGCTGACAGCTTGCTGGAATAGCTTTAAAGAAAAATAAATATTTTTTTTACTTAATGCAGCATATTTGATAGACTATGGTGCACACAAACTCACACATACAACATAAAATAAACCAACTTTGTATTACATAGTACATTAAAGTATACCAATTTTGTATTACACTATAGATGAAATCATACCAATGTTGTATTAAACTCTAGAAGAAATCCTACCCATTTTGTATTAAACTCTAGAAGAAATCCTACCAATTTTGTATTAAACTCTAGATGAAATTATACCAATTTTGTATTACACTATAGATGAAACTATACCATTTTTATATTACACTCTAGATGAGGTTATACTAATTGTATATTAAACCACAGATGAAATTATACCAATTTTATATGACACTATATATGAGATTGTACCAATTTTGACTGTAGATGATATTATAATTACTAATTTTGTATTACACTATAGATGAGATTATACCAATTTTGTATTATGCAATAAATGAGATGATACCAACCACGTATTAACTTTCAGTACAAGACTATCACAAGTAAGAAAAAAATTACTTACTTGTTGCAAGAATGGTCATACCAGTGACCTCTTAGGGCCAGCTTGCCCTGTTTGACAGAGGTCATGTAATAGAACACCACCAACGGATGAATGACCAGGCGATCTACCACCGGAAGGGAACGGACGACGTAGTTACGCTTGAGCTCATGGATTAACCTGGTCCAGTCTAGAGAGTCGCGGTCTGTGGTCACATGCTCCAGATGACCTAAAGTAAATTTGTAATATTCATGGTAAAAAGTTCCCTTTTCAAACCTGATGGTCTATAGGGCAAGTGGAGTGCGGTCAGTGGTGACATGCTCCAGATGACCTAAAGATAATGTAATATTCACTGTAAAAAGTTCCCTTTTCAAACCTGAGGTCTATAGGGCAAGTGAAGTAGAGTTCACTTGTTTCTGTGACCTCGGCATATGAAGAGATAGTGTGTGCCCAGCCGCCTTTACTTTCCCTAACGTGAGTTAGGTACCCATCAGAGCTGGGTGGACTCAGGGACGGTCTACTGACTTGAACCCGGATTCGAATTCGAGACTTACGGGTTAGCAGTCCAGCTCTCTACCGCTAGACTACTCCGTCAATATTCACGGTGAGAATTCCAAAATATTTTGTAAGTTTACACGCAGTTCTATTGAAATAATGATTATTCGAATTATTTGAAACATTTAAAAAAAAAATGTTATGGATAAGTCTACACTCAATATAATTGAATACAAATAAGAAGAGATACATTTAATGAACAAAGAAATCACAACATCAGAAAAAATACAGCTGTATAGTCTTTGATCATTGGTGCCCAAGACAGATGAAGTAGAGTTAATCTGTTTCAATGACCTCTGCATACAGGGGATAGTATGGTCAATACTATGCCCAGCCACCTTTACTTCCCGTTATGTTAGTCAAGTACCATCAGAGTTGGGTGGACTCTTGGATATTCTAAAGACTTCCACCCAGGATCCGAACTCATTACTTTTGGGATAACAGTTATGAGTTCTACCATTTGACCATGTCATCACACCACTGTATTAAAGTAATAATTATTTCTGCAGAAATTAAAAATAACAACCTAAAAATAAATAAATATCAGAGTCTTGATAAGCCATAACCTGTTATAATTAAATTCAAGGAAGAAAGAAATTTAGTGAACAAGATCTTTACCTTCAGTAAAAGAGCTGTCAATAGAATGGCAGAAATGAACAATGGATAAAAGGGTTTGCTCTGGTATCCACTCTGTCACCTCATCCAATCGACCGCTAAATATCTGCGACAAAAACCGAACATCTTTATCTATTCTTTTAGAGAGTATCTCTGCAGGAATTCTAAATTCCTCATTGGCTATGAACTCTTCAGCAAGAAGCCTAACAGCTCCAGGAAGACATAGAGTCCTTAAACAGACATCTGCGTAGTTGAGTACTTCAACCTTCGGAGCGTAAAACTGTAAAATTGAGATAACATCCCAAATATCAGAAAGTAATCCAATCTCAACCTTTTTCATGTTAGGGCCATGATTAGGGTATTGTTTGTATGTTGTGAAAATTATAGTCACTTTCAAAGACATGGATAAAAATTTGATCAACCTGGAGATGAAATCTATGAAGAGATGATCCTGCTGGTTTGTTTTGAAGCTCTCACATTTGTGAAAAACAATAACGTGGGTCATGTCCTTAAACTGTTCCAGGGTGTGGCGCACCAGTGTGAGAACACAGTCTTCGTCAACGGAATCAATGTTGATGGAGGATTTGGTCAATTTTAGAACCATATCAGTTAACAGGTTCTGGAAGGAGAAAAGTCTTTTGCAAGAAAAATGGTGTTGAATGAGGGGGCCACTGTTTTCTTCAGACTGGGTGGAGAGTTCATGAATTTTTTCTTCAATTGCCTGAAAAAAAAATACATTTTCTTACAATCAATAATGGACTTTAAATGATAAAGCCTATTATAAGCCTACATTTTAATTAGGATGATTATGATTGGGTTGACATGTTTGCTCAAACTAAAATATGTTTATGTATTTAAAAAAAAACAATTTAAATATTTGAACTGTTAAATTTATCTGAATAAACTTATAAAGTTTTAGAAAAATACAATCTCTTATGCTGAGAAAAAAAAATACATTTTTATAATCTGTAGGCCCTACATTGAAAACAATATTGAAACTGTGCAAGCAGTTGAACTTAAGGAAAAGTCTTTAAAAAATTTATTTTAAAAATGAAGTAGCTAGGAAAAAAGAAAAACCAAAAATTACTTTAATTTCAATAAACCTGCTTTTAAAAATTTAAATATTTAGGCCCATTATGGTTATCAGCAATAATACATAGGCCCTACCACATTTTATTACAGGCCTACAGTTGTAAGAATACACAACTTTTAATCTAACCCTAACCAAACCACAATTTTGTCTAGAGAAGTACAGCTAACATAATATATATATAATATGTTGGTGTTGTTAAAATCTAAAAAAAAAAAAAAAATCTGACTTATTTCCCTTTATGTTTATAGCCTAAGCACATGAAACTAAGGTCAGTGTGTCAAATCTTCAGTAATAATGAATTTTGTCTTAATTAAACCACTCCCACTTTTTAAGTAACTCAATGTGCTTGAGAAGTCTCAAAAGGTGTTACCAAAATTTAAACCTGATGAATATAGAAATAAAAACTAATGGTGCTCTTTTAAAAAAAATTACTCTCTAGACTTTACTTTCAGTTCAGACAGTCTGATAGGGCAGGTGAAGTAGACAGCAGAGTTTCTTCCAGGCATCTCTTCGGGATGGGAGGGGGGGGCATAACCCCCCCCCCCCCCCCCCGAAATTTTTTTACCGCCCCCCCCCCCCCCCCCCCCCCCCGAACGAAATGAAATTTATATAATTTATATAGAAAATATATACTTTTAACAGTGTCCGCCCCCCCCCCCCCCTGAAGATTTCAAGTGCCCCCCCGGAGAAAAAAGTCTGGAAGAAACACTGGTAGACAGAGTTTCTTCCAGGCATCCCCCCGAACAAAATGAAATTTATATAATTTATATAGAAAATATATACTTTTAACAGTGTCCGCCCCCCCCCCCCCCCCCCCAAAGAAAGTCTACCCCCCCCCCCCCCCCCCCCGAGAAAAAAGTCTGGAAGAAACACTGGAAGTAGAGTTCATCTGTTTCTCTGACCTCAGCAAGTGAAGGGATAGTCTGGTGAGCACTACAGCTATTAGCCTATAGCATGCTGAACTAACCTAAACATTCTTAACTCAGTAAAGCCTATAGTATGCAGACCATTAACCTAACCTAAACATTCCTAGCTCAGTGAAGTCTATAGTTATTAACCTATGGCATGCAAACTGCTTACCTAACCTAAACATTCTAGCTCAGTACAGAGTTTCTTTCAGGCATCTCTTCGGGGGGGATTTGACCCCCCCCCCCCAACGAAAATGAAATTTATATAATTTATATAGAAAATATATACTTTTAACAGTGCCCGCCCCCCCCCCCCCCCCGAAGAAAGTCTACCGCCCCCCCAGAGAAAAAAGTCTGGAAGAAACACTGGCTCAGTAAAGCCTAGATTAGCCTACAGCCTGAATACTGCTAACAAAACCTAAACATTCCTAGCTCAGTAAAGCCTATAGCATGCAGACTGCTATCAAAACCTAACTATTCCCAGCTCAATAAAGTTTATATTCTAGCCCACTCACCTGCCTGACTGTAGTTGACTTGCCGGCCATGGGGGGCCCACACACCTGAACAATGTACCCAGGCAGGAGGAAACTCTTGAGCTCCGTCTTTTCCTTTTGTCTGATATTGGCCGTGGGGTGCCTGTACATGTCTCTTCCATGAACCAGCCCGGGGCTTTGTACTACATGTCCAGCGCTGACGCCATTTTTAGTCTGGCTCAGGTTTCCTGCAATTCTTTGATGACCTGGGCCTTTGTCGTCTGGAGGTTTTGGTTGAGGCGCGAACTCTGTCGGGTAAATATCAGTCGTGGGTTTCAACATCATGATGGGGCAGTGGAGTACTGGAGGAATTGGGTATGGATTTTCCTGCAGGGCGACAAGATTTCCAAATTTTCCATGAGGAAAATCTCTGAAAGAATGGACAGGCTGTTTATGTCCAGTAACATTGCCAATATTTAAATTAGAATTCGGATATTCCGAATAATTATCCGTCAAAGCAGGATCTGTATATGTGGATCTCTGTATAATAATTTCATTCTGCCGTGGCGTTTGGTTATTATGTGATATAGCAGGATTAAAATAATTTCCGTTACATATTCGCGAACCTGGAAACTCTACAGGAGACGGAGTTCCGTTAAAATAACTGCTAGAACTAGCAGGGGCGCAGCTACTGTTGGAAAGAGGAAAAAATACGTCGTCAGATAAGGTGGAGGACACGTATCTCTTATTGTCGAAGTAATCCAGGCCGGGGTGAGGGTTCTGATTGACCTCCAGTTGCTCACGTCTGCCTGATGTGCTGGAAACTGACCAGCCTTGAGCGTGGTCTGGCACTTGTCTGTCGCTGCTCTGGGTGAACAGGACATGGGCTCTGCTAGGATGTCCAGTACTTGAGTGATCCATTTTTAGAACTGGATTTGAAATACAAGGGGAGGCTACTCACACTTGTTTACCTCGGACATAGATCTACACAAGAAAATTAAGAAGGAAAAAGTTAACATTGATGTGCTCTCAATTTTAACACGAGTTTTGTATAAGGGATATCCTCTAACCCAACACAGTTACAGTGTGATAAACAGCCACCCCCCCCCCTCTCTATCTCTCAATTAAAAATGATGTCACTTGGTTACATTCCTCACCATGTATAACCAGCATTCTTCAAAAAGGGATTTCTCACCCCCACACACCCTCTTCCCTAGTAGAACAACTCCTATATCTCCCCCCCCCTTTTTTTTTTAACCCGACCCCCACATCCAACCCCCTGTAGAACGTCTATATCTCCCTCCCCCCTTCAACCCCCTCATTCCACCCCCTGTAGAACAACTCCTATATCCCCCCCCCCCTTTTTTTTAACCCAACCCCCACATCCAACCCCCTGTAGAACGTCTATATCTCCCTCCCCCTTCAACCCCCTCATTCCACCCCCTGTAGAACAACGCCTATATCATCCCCCCCCCCCCCCGCCTTTTAACCCCATCCCCACATCCACCCCCCCCCCCCTTGTAGAACAAGGCCTGTCCCCCTTCTAGGCGTATGACAGCAATTTTTAGACACCCCCCTCAAAACAACACAAATTAACCCCCCCCCCCCCCCCCCCCATTTTAAAGCCATAGTCTATTTGCAGTAACCTAGGTATTGATGCCTGCGATTAGAAGGCCATATTGATTAACTGGTCAATCTTGCAAGATGCAACCTAAACTTATTTATTAGCAAACAAAAAAACAAAACAAAACTAAAACATCCAAAAGTGGCTTTACGAACGTCAACGATGGTAAATATAATTGTTACAGCTTTGGTTAA